CTAAGACAAGCATCTTTGTCTTTTTTTTTTTTTTTTTTTGGTTTTTTGAGACAGGGTTTCTCTGTAGCTTTGGAGCCTGTCCTGGAACTCCCTTTGTAGACCAGGCTGGCCTCAAACTCACAGAGATCCTCCTGCCTCTGCCTCCCAAGTGCTGGGATTAAAGCAGCTTTGTCTTGATGAGCTGTGATTTCCTCACTCTAAAGCTGGGTTGGGACTGTCGGACTCTGTATTCCCAGCTCTGTGGTTCTCAAGCAGTGAAGGCTGGGCATTCATTTATAGGTGAGGCGGGGTGAACCCCAAGACACTTCCTCTGCCCAGCAAGTCCACTTTCAGATAAAATTAGTGCCTGGAGAGAATGCTAGGAGTGTAGAATTTAGAGTGTAGGGAGTTACACATAGCCAAGGAATATTTCAAGAAAACTCAGAAATATAGTGTTCCAGAATCCTCTGAAAATGTTTATCTCCCCAGAGAGAAGATTGATATTGATAAGCCCAGACACGAATCCCCCAAACAGAGCCATCTTCCCTTCAGTAAACGAGAACCCCAACGTCAAAGACCGTGTCTTTCACTCTCTTTATCGCCTCCCTTTTCTCCCCCTCTCCCAGTGTTCAGGTCACAGTGGTCAGGTTTCAACTGTCTCTCTTAATTACATCCGCCTTGCTATAAATAATAACAATAAAAAATATCTGAGTGATACTTGCCAAAATAAAAATAATCTTGCAAAGGAGATGTTCTTAATAAGAATATTGAGGGGGGGGAATGTTTGAAATTAGGACATTGCAATGGATTTGAGAGTGATAGGGTGGCCCATTTGGTGTGGTTTCTGATGCCAGCGGACTCATCAAAATCCACCACTCACCGAGTTTCAGTGGACTATCAGAGAAAGTAACCCATGTCTGAAGAAACCATCAAAACATTCCTCATCTCCCAATAACATGTCTATGTGACTGCTTCGCTTTCAGTAGATTTCACCCCAAATAATAGATCACAGCAGGCTGGATTCAAAAGCAGGTAAGAGAATCCAGCTTGAGTTAGATGTGAGAAGTTACAAAAGTATAAAACATGTTCCTCATTCTTTTATAAAAACTGTCACAAATGAATATTTATATTAATATAATTGCCTTATGTATCAGTCGATTAGTATTCAGTTTTAATTTCTAGTAGATTTATATATATGTGTGTGTGTGTTTATGTTTGTATACCATCCATTTTAAGACTATTTCAGAATGTAAATAGGTCCCATTACTTACAGTGGTTGAGTATTGCTATCTGAAAGTGAAGGTCTGTGCTCCCTCTGTGCACAGAGATTATAATCAGCATTATGGTTTCTTATTTGGAGTTGTCTTAGAATCACTGCTGCTGTGATAAAACAACTTAAGAAAGCGTTCTTGTTTACATGCTTGCCTGCTTGTTGATTTAAATATCCTGAATCACTGTTTTCTGAGGAAAGCCAAGGCAGGAATTCAAACCAGTCAGGAACCTGGAGGCGGGAACTGATGCAGAGGCCATGGAGGGTGTTGCTTACTGGCTTGTTTATCATGACTTGCTCAGCCTGCTTTCTTGTAACACCCAGGACCATCAGCCCAGTGGTGGCTCCACCCACCATGGACTGGACCTTTCCCTACCAATCAGTAATTAAGGAAATACCCAACAAACTTGCCTGCAACCCATTCTTATGGAGTGATTTTTCTCAATTAAGGTTCCCTTCCCTTAGATGACATTAGCTTATATCAAATTGACATAAAACTACCCAGGACAAATAAAGATTCCCAGGTTTTTTTAGGATAACTCTTGCATGGATGACAGAAGCCAAAATCATCAAGCAGCAGAACAAGAGCTCGACAGAAGACAACAACCAGAAAGATCAATGCCATCAACACCACCATCATCACCACCATCATCATCACCATCACCACCATCACCATTATCATCATCATCACCATCATCATCACCACAATCACCACCATCATCATCATCATCACTGCTATCACCATCATCATCACACCATCACCATCACCACCATCATCACCATCATCATCACCACTGCTATCACCACCATCATCATCACTTCCATCACCATCATCATCACCATCACCACCATCATCATCGCCATCATCACCATATCCTTGTACTACATAATAGAATATTTTGCACCTGTAAAATAAGAACAGATGCATAAAGAAACATCCAGGTAGCATGTTCCGACAGAAAACAATCCTAAATCCTCTAAACTTAAGAGTCTGGTGGTAGAAATTAGAAAATTATCAAATAGATGGGAAATGAAGTTAAGATCTCCTAGAAACAGACAATCAGCAACATGATAAGAGAAAGATGAGAAAAATTAGAAGATCAACCATAAGATCCAAAAGTTTGAGGAAGAGGACCTCTAACAGCCACACACCAAACACAGGATTCCAAAGCAGTCGGCTTTAAACTCCTTGGCCCCTGGATCCCTTGCATTCCTGCAGGTGATTAAGACCCACAAGCATATTTGTTTGGGTTTTATTATGTTTTGTTTATTGTGTTAGGAACTGAAGCTCAGAAATGATTAAACTATCAATTTATATTATAATAATAATAAACCCACACATTTTGCCAAGTGACTCAATGACTTTATGGGGTTTGGGGGTTTTGTTTGTTTGGGAGTCATTTTGCATTTCTGAAGCTCTCCTTACTGTTTAACTTCAGAGCAAACCTCAGCATCCCTGTGTCTGCTCCTGGTTTTTCTGTGAGGCAAGCCAAGTCACAGAGCCTCTGGCAAAGTTCACTGTATTCTCAAGAGAAAATGGAATGGAAAACTGAGCATTTTTATGGATTAATGTCTTATGGGTGTCCTGAAGAAGGGAACGTTGGATGCTACATGAAGGGCAAGATCACATCCAAACTGCTAAATCGTGGTCGGAGACCAGACCCAAAGCTGATCAGCACAGAGTCTCAGAATTATGTTAGGAAAGGAAGGAAGGAAGGAAGGAAGGAAGGAAGGAAGGAAGGAAGGAAGGAAGAAATTCTAAAAACTTACAGAAAAAAAAGTCACCAATTAGGGAGAAAGGTGAATGATACTAAATTCTCAACATCAGTATTTGAATTCCTGAGGCTCCAGGAACTTTCAGAAGAAATTAGCCCAACTAAGAATCCCCTGTCACATGACATCGTCAGCCCAGGTGATGGGAGGAAGACTGAAGATTGACCTCTTGTCACCATCACTCAGGAAGCTTCCAGAAACTGCATTCTCCGGAAATGGAAGGGCACAGAGCACCCAACAGAGGCAGCAAACCAAGGTGAAGGATCACCAAAACGGTCACCCAGCTGCCCAGCAGCTGGGGAATGGCCCATGACAGGCAGAAGAGTAGACCGCGGGCTACAGAACGGAAGCTGCTTAGCATCAGTACACCCCAGGAGGGACCCCACCCGAGAAAATGTTTGGTTGCAGTGGCTTGAGATTTCTCCTCCTCACACACAGTTTGGCTGTGAATTAGCAAGGAGTACTTTGAAAACGAGCGAGAGACATGGAAATGAGAAAGCTTTTGTGACTTAAAAGGTTAATTTTTGTTTGTTTGTTTTTGTTTTTCAAAGCAGGGTTTCTCACTATCTTTGGAAATCACAATAGACCAGACTGACCTCAAACTCAGAGATCTGCCTGCCTCTGTCTCCCTGGTGCTGGGACTAAAGACATGTGCCACCACTGCCCAGTTTAAGATTAATTTTTAAAAAAAAAAAATTTTTCAAATGCCACAGTTATAGGACTGAAGAGGTAACGGATCTCTTTTTTCTTTAGCTATGCGTTTTCACCCATCTGCACAGAGGTAAACATTTTTGTTAATTTTGTTTACCCAATGGTGTAAAAACAAGACAACAATCTTAAAACTCTTAAAACAGATTGTTTTAACTCCAGAGAAGCTATGATCCTACAAGAAAGGAAAGGCTTATAGTACATGCTAAACCTAAACTAGGAATATTTTTTCCATGATATTCTCATTGTCTTAAAAATGTGGATTTGGACATTTGATCTATTCAGATTGCAAAATACACCGGGTTAAGAAGTTTAGGGGTGGGTCTTTAAGACAATGAAGAAGGAAACACTAAAACTGAAAAAATAAATAATAAAAACCCATCGTCAGAGTTCTTAGAGATAGAGACCTGATCCAACAGGAACAATAAATACGTCTCAGCAGGAGCCACTGAGAATTCGAAGCACAAAGCAAGGAATGATTTTGTCCATTGAACTGTTTGTCTTTTTATTAAATGTATAGCACATAACATTTTAAAAATCAGCACCTGACATTAAATTACACTGTGTAATGCAACTCGGAAATGTGCCACTTACCCCAAGAATATCTAGTGAGCAAGCAACTCCACCTTCAGAATTGTGTGCAACACTGGGAGCTTAAACAATTAATTAGATCGCTAGCCATGCAGCACGGTGGCCCTGCCACTAGAGCTTTATGAGTTTATGTTTCAGCAGAGATGCCGCCTCTCGTGGAGTATCTGTCCTCTGAAACACTCCCTTTATTGACAATTTTGTTAGTATGGTTTAAGCATCTTAGTCTTCACATGCAACAAGAATTCACTGAAACTGGAAACTTATCCCTCTTTGCTTCGCGTTTGTGTGTTTGTGTGTGTGTGTGTGTGTGTGTGTGTGTGTGTGTGTGCACATGCATGCTGGCACCTTGCACAGCATGGATACCTAGGCCCTTCTTCAATGAGTGAATGTGTGTGAGCAACTTCGGCAACTGACGACAAATGTCTGGGAAATAATTCTTATGCAGGTGTATCTCTGGTGTGGGAACTGCTGGTCCAGTCTGTGTCTAAACTCCTGCCCCACCCATGATCTTGGGCATCTCTTAACTAAGCCTTGGACACAGTGGCAATAGACCTGTGGCCCAATTACCTGAGTCCTTGTAAATGCCATTAAGAAGGTTTAAACCTTTAAATTCTATAAAATGTCCTCAACCTGAAGGCTACTATCTAATACTTGCTGGCTGTGTGTTTTGTTTTATTAGTGAACTACTTCAAGATCTGGAAAACTGTGAAAACGATCCTGTGGCCATAGCAGAATGTTTTGTGTCAAAGGTAAGTACCATTTATTTTTCAGGGCCAACCAAGGCAGAAAGCATGTGCAGTTTGTTTTCTTCTTAAAGTTAGGATCAGTGGTTATTCAATATTGAATTAAGGTAGCCAACCAATCATAAACTTTTTTGTTTTCCTAGCTGTGTGTGTGTGTGTACATTTATAAGAGAAGGGGGCTGTTAGTTCTAGTATTCCTATAGTTTGTATAGTAGTTGGATAATGTTACTAATTCTTTTCTTGGAAAGACTTAAAGTTTGAGATGGGAGAATCTAGAATAGAGAATGGTTTTTTAAAAAAAAATCCATATAGATCCATATACCATACCTCTAAATTCACTCCAAAAATTCCCAAGAATCTACATGTTTTGGTTTGTGTTGTGTGGTACTAGTCTGGTTGATGCGGCTACCCTTTAAGGGGTAAAGAAGAGCAAACGTGATTTCCTAAGTCTTAAAAGTACCCTGGGTTTCCTATTCTTTTTCTGTGTCGCATGACTTGACATGGACTTGACATGAAGACAGGTGTCAGAAGTTCATGCTCTGAGCTTGGCAGGCTGATATCCTGTGGCAGTGCACATGCTGTCTGGCACACACAGAATCCTGTCTTGTTCAAGTTTCGCTTTGAGACTCAACAACTTTCCTGTGGAAAACCTCTGGGAGAAATCAACTTGCAGAAGAACTTTATGTGATTTCTGTATGAAGGTTTGAAGTGGGCGAGATTGAAGCAGGTTCGTAGTAGTCCTTGGGAACCAACCGTCCATCAACGTCTCATTTAGAGCCCTGAAGAGTCCAAGATGACTAAGGTGTTACCCCAGCCTTTGCTGGCTCTAGATTGTTCCACACAGTTAGCTCTGGTGGCCACAGACCTATCTTCGTGGCTGGGAATTCAAAGTTAACAGCTCTCTGGGTTCGACTGAAACCACTAAATGGCACTCAGTGGGCTTGTATATAACCTTCTCCTGTCTTTTCATAGCTTGTGTGTGTTCCCATATAAAATGTTGGTACACACATGCTTACACACACAAGATTTTTTCCATAGCCACCCTCTTTGTAATGGGTTCTCTTATACGGTAGGAAATGAAAGAAATGAAAATGGGGGAAATGGTGTAAAAGCAAAAAGAGCGTTTCAAAGAAGATCGGCATCTGTGCAATACTGACGTCTCAGAGAATGCTCGGCTTCTACTGCTAACTGTAGTCACAAGCTGATTAAAGTGCTTCCAATGTTCGCTTAACTCTGCCTTAATTGCTCACATAAAAGTTTGTTTATGTGCCTCCCTGCCAAGTCCCAAATCTCATTTTTCATTGTAATATTGCCAAGTTTAATTAGAAGACCAACTTGGGAGCTCGACTCTTTCACACGGGAGCAGGAGTCGGGAGGGCGTGCCGGCTCTGTGCGCCCCGCTTCTCACTCAGCACCCTGACATTTAGACGGGGTTACGTCTCTCTGAACCGCCACCAGCTGCTCTTCTCAGGGAGGGATGGAAAATTGCTTTAATTGAGAGGTCATTAGCAAAAGAGGTAAAGCTGGCAGTTGACTTTGCCTTTATGGGAATCGCTGGGGCTTTCACAGAGCACCGTCTTTGGCCTGGCTTCCCTGTGTGGTGTGTGTAGGCTAATGAAGTCCTAGCCAAAGAAAGAAAATACTGTTCCATCTTATCGACTGCTTCCAGAAGAATCAGGAGGACACTGAGGGACAGCAATAAGCGTTCTCTCCTGGGCCTGATGCCCCATATGTCTTGATCTGCACTCAGGACTCTGGGAGCATCTTGAAAGACTTGAGTTTGTCCCCAGATTGCCTTCTCAGCCACCCTCATGCTCATCCCTCACTGGACTGTCAGCACGGCTTACTCTGGGCAGCTGAAGGAGAGATTGCCTGACTTCTTAGTTCCCTTTACCCTCCTCTCCCTTCGTGCTCAGTCACTTCCCACGAGCGCTCTTCTTCTTTCATAGCCGAGGAGAATGAGAACTCATTCACACAGAAGGATGCGACCAATACTCACTGCATGTAAATGCATGTGTGTGTGCACACACATGTGTATACATAATACACACAGACCACACGTGCCACATGTTAGAATTATCATCAAAAAATTTCTGGTGTTGAAAATCCATGTAAAGTCACTATTATGTTCCGCATATGCTACCTACCTGTGTATTGTCCAAGAAAACGTCGCTGGAACCAAAGACTGTAAGGGAGATGGGGGAGGCGGGTGAGAGACAGAGAGAGACTTTGTGGCAGAAAAGCACTAAAATCATGGACTTCTTTCCTCTGTCACCCATTCAGCAGCAGTTGGGTGTCCTGTGTGCTCTCTTTGGCATCCCTGTACCCTAAAGCTTTGCGTTTTGCATAATTACCTCCTTTTGCATGCTTATTATAATCTAAAAGAGTTGAATAATTAGAAAGTAATATCTGCTTTTTTCTAATTTGTATATTTCCCTAAATGCATGTTTAAAAGGGTTTGAGCTGGCATTGTACAATGAATAATGACATTCAAGCATTAACAGACTTAGGGACTGTTGAAAATATATATGTATATACACATATATATGTAGTGGCATTTCACTTTTATTTTAATGAATAAAACCTGCCTGAAGATCAGAGAGTAAAACAGCCCCACTGGTCAGCCTTACTACCTAGGCAGTGGTGACACACACCTTTAATCCCAGTAACCACACTAGTTGCCAGAGACGCTAGATGGAGAGTGCCTTTAACCCCAGTGGTGCACGCCTTTGATCCCAAAACTAGAGAGGATTATAAAATGGGAGGCGACAGCTCTCAGACACAGTCTCATTCTCAGATTCCTGGTCAGGATTGTCATTTTGGACTGAGGTCGAGGTAAGAACCAATGGCGCTGCTTTGCTTTTCGGGTCTTCTGGTTGAACCCCAATATCTGTCTCTGAGTTTTTATTAATTGTGTTTTATGTATGTATGTGTATGTATATGTATGTACACATATATGTACAAATACACAATGAATATATATGTATGCATACATGTGTATCCATTGTTTGTAAAGTCTGAAGATGTTTGCACGTCTAGGGTCAAACCTGCATTTAATCATCTGTTAAGAATGTGCCCCTGGTAGAGAGCAAATATCTAGATCAGGGACAGAGTCACAATGTCATAAAATTGAGAAGCCCTAGGGCCTGACTAAGAACTAGTGTATGTAGGTTGACTATATGTCTCAACTGCAGTGTATCTTCATGCAGCCTATTGTTTTCAGTGTGACATGTCCCATGATTCTAAAGGTCTCAAGACATGAGGATAGGGAGCTGGATGCTGGTCTATCCCAGGGTGAGAGAAGAACAGTGACCCCCCCCCCCCCAGTCAGTGTGGAGCAGTGGGGGAAGCTTAGTCAGCTGTATGCTTGCTGAAGGACCTGAGGAAATCTCTTTGCTTTTCTCATCCCTGGAGCCAGGGCCATCCTGCATAGCCAACAAATGTCTAACTCTATGTATAGAGAATTCAAGTGGAGGCTGTAGTGGGGCAGGTGTTTGCTAGTCTCATAGGATAGCATCTGCCGTGTGAACCTGTAGGTCCATGGCCCATAGAACCTATACTTTGTCCAGAGAGGCCAAAACTCAAGTTATTTATGTTCTCCAATGCCTAGAAGTAGACAGCTAATTTAGGAATTATAAAGTACTATATTGGAAAATGTGGTACTAGGTTTAAAACGGTGTTTAGGCTGTAAGGAAACAGATTCAGTGGAGCAGAATCTGGCCGAGTCTAGTATTTAGAAATTGGAATTTACCCTGTCACCTACCAATCCTGATGCCAGAACGCTATTCATAGGATAAACTGACAAAATGTCAACGGGTCTGACATGATACTTGGCACTGGTACTTGATCCTCCAAAGACTACAGACAACCTAAACAAAAACCTGCTTGAATACTCTTTTGTATGCTCAACCAAACAATGGAGTACAGTGGAGCTATGCAAGCAAACAAGAAATGTCTCCATACACTGCTTGGGGGAGGGGGAGGCCGTTAAGTGTGCCCAGCACAAGCTCCTCCAAGCACGGTCCCTGTACCTGTGACATCAGTGTCACAGGGGAGCTTGATAGAAATGCTTGCAACCAACTAAAGAAAAAATTGGGGTTCGGTCCAGTTATCTGTTTTCATAAACCTTCCAATGACGTCTACTTAATTTCACTCCTACATGTGATTTGCTTATCTGATAAAGGGATGTCTGTGTTTAAAAACAGGATGACTGATAAGATTTAAATTATAGGAGAAAGGAACTGGATGTGGAGGCTGAAATCTAAGAGGAGAATCAGGAGGTCAGGGCCATCCTCAGCTACATAGCAAATTTGAGGCCAGCCTGGATCACATGAGACTCTATTTCAACAAACAAGAAAACTGAAGAAAGGAAGGAATCACCTAGAATGGAGCAGAATGAGTTAACTTCTCTGAATATGTCTTTATATGGAAACCTGGATTTGCGTGTATATAATTCAAAAACCCAAAATTAAGGCTTTAAAAATCCAGGTCTGTACACCAAGAGTAAAATGAAGCAAGCGCAAAAAGGTGTGCATGCAGTTGGTAGGCAGCCATGCAAAGGAATTTCTAACGAACTTGAAAAATATGTGGTGGCCAAAATACACCCAACACATGTTTATGGTTATGTCCCTGCTCTCCTGTGGAAATTATAGTGTGCTCTGGGATGGTGCAAGCAAGTATTAATGTTAGTGCCCTTGGGGAATGAAATTACCAGGAGAAATAAAATATAGAAGCAGGAATGTTCCAGAATAATTCACCCTGTGGTTCTGAATCTGAATGACAGGTATTGTCACCCTTATCCCAAATGCTTAGGACCAGAACAATTTCAAATGTTTTCAGGTTTGAGGAACCTTTCATGTACATAACACAGTATTTTAGGTATAAGATGCAAGTGTGGACACAGAATACAGGAACGCTTCCTCTGCACCTACACTGAAGTGATTCCGTATAATATTTTCAGTGCAGCTGTGGCTGCTGCTTCCCAGAGTGTGAACTCAGGAGTGAGTTTTCCATTTGTTTCATCATACTCATTCTTAAAGATTTGGATTCTTAGCATTTTTTTAAAAATATTGTATTAGTATGGGCCAAGTTTCCTTTAAAATCTCTTAGAAAAACAATATTTCTAACTTTGTCCATTGAAAAGCCCTAAAAATAATGATAAGCCCAATAGCTAGAGCATTCCTGATACCCAGACTTGTCTCCAAATACGACTTGCTACAGAGGGCCAGGGTTCTGGGAAGCATGGGTGTGGTTGGTTGGGAAATCCAGGAGATGTTCTGGAATATTTTATCGCACATAAACCATGAAGTATCTGAAGATGCCAGGTCATGTCACAGACACACAAAAGCTGGCATCAGAGAAGAGGTGCCTACTGGGCAAAGACTGGTTGTTAACTTGACTACCTCTGGAATTAACCAAAACCTAACTGGCCGGGCACACCTGTGAGGGATTCTTTTTTCTTAGTTAAACCATTTGAAGTGAGAAGGTCCAATTTCAATCCAGATCTTAGAGGTGGGGAGATCCACCTTTAATCTGCTATGTAAAGGACATGGAAAAAGGAAGCGCGCTCTCTCTCTCTCTCTCTTTCTCTCTCTCTCTCTCTCTCTCTCTTTCTCTCTCTCTCTCTCTCTCTCTCTCTCTCTCTCGCTGTTTGCTCTCACTCTCTCTGGCAAGTCTATTCCTTCACTGGCATTAGAACCTACATCTTTGGGATTCTGGTGTCTACTGAAAACCAGTTGAGATGCCCAGCATCATAGACTGAACCGGATTCTCAGACCTTCCGGTGATGTCCAGACAGCCATTGCTGGACTAACTGAACCACAGCCTATAAGCCACTTTAATAAATTCCTTACTAGATGGATGGATGGATCCATTCTATAAACTCTCTTCTTCTAGAGAACCCTAACTAATATAACAAGTAAAGATAGTTCATTGAAAACAACTGAACCTCATTAAATAAATATGTTCCTATTTATGAACGTACAGTGTCATTAAAAATCAGGCTCTTTATGGGATATTAAGAAACCAACACTGGGTTTTGATCCCACTGCACATACTGGCTTTGTGGGAGCCTAGGCTGTTTGGATGCTCACCTTACTAGACCTGGAAGGAGGTGGGAGGTCCCTGGACTCCCCACAGGGCAAAGAACCCTGACTGCTCTTCAGGATGATGAGGGAGGGGGAGTTGGTTGGGGGAGGGGGGGAAATGGGAGGCGGTGGGGAGGGAAATGTGAGGCGGTGGCGAGGAAGAGACAGAAATATTTAATAAATAAAAAATAATAATTAAAAAATGGTGAGAGTTTTTCCAAATCAAAGATTAAATAGCAACCAGCCTATATTTTGAATATTTGTACAATAAAATGCTGAAACTTAGATAGGCAAAAAAAAAAAAGAAAAAAAAACCAACACATTATTCTGAGAATAACAAAGAAGGACTAACTGAACTCGAAACATCACCATTAGTAACCCCTAGAATCAGACCTAAATACTAATTACCAATGGCTGTTAACATCATACAAAAAAGATGTCCAGGTATATGTGCCCCCTGATGGGAGTATAGTGCAACCTATTGTGGATTTTGCCAAAATATAAGACCTCCATCTGAGTAAACCTGTATTAGAACTCAGTAGTGCAATGGACAGGACACAGAGAAGACTTTAGTGTGTCACCAGGACCACTGAGACAGGGATCTTGTGGGTGCAATGAATGTTGTGGTTTCTTCAGCAACTAAATTACAAGGTAAAAACCAGTCAAGACTTTGTAATGATCAATGGAGGGTGGAGGATTCGCCAAAGATGCTGAGATGCTGGGTTCCAGCCCAGTGTTACAAAGCAAGCAAACAAGCAAAAACAATCAGCCAGTGGATAACATTTGCTGTGTACGAACCTTCTATGGGCTTCAAGTCAAACAGTAGACTGTGAAAGGAAAGGAAATCAAACCAGGAAATGTGCACAGTTATTGGCACGCCTCATATCATGGGATTATTTAAGGATGACCATGGAATTGTGACGCCTCTTGACTAATGCTTAGAGACAGGGGCTGGAGAGATGGCTCGGAGATTAAGAGCAGTATCTGCTCTGTTTAAGGATCCAGGTTTGATTCCCAGCACCCACATGGTGGCTCACAAACATCTGTAAATCTAGTCCCAAGGGATCTGAAGCTGCCTTTTGAGTCCCAAGGGCACCATGCTTACATGTGGCTCTTAGACATGCATGCTGGCAAAACACCCATACACATAAAAAGTATGGTGTAGGAGACCCTTCTTTCTATGTATTGCTTGTATTGGTTAATGAATAAAGAAACTGCCTTGGCCTGATAAGGCAGAATTTAGGTAGGTGGAAAAGACAGAACTAAATTCTGGGAGGAGGAAAAAAAGTCAGAGAGACGCTGTAGATCCCCCAGAGACAGAAGCTGGGAATTTCCCCAATAAGCCACTGCTACGTGGCAATACACAGATTAATAGAAATGGGTTAAACTAATATGTAAGAATTAACCAATAAGAAGTTAGAGCTAATGAGCCAAGCGATGATTTAATGAATACATTTCTATGTGGTTATTTCGGGGCTAAGCTAGCCAAGCGGCCAGGACAAACAAGCAGCCCACTCCTTGCAACAATTGGTGCCCACCTGGACAACAATTCTCACCCTTCCCCTTCCTCCCTTTTTTTCTTCCTCCTCTCTTTCTTCACCTTCTCTTTTCTCTCCTCCCCCTTCCTCTATGAGTCCCTCCCTCCTTTCTCTTTTGGACAGTCTTAGTGTTCAGTCCAAGCGGATGTCAAGCTCCCAGTCCTTCTGGCCCCGCCTTGTACCACCATGACTGACTTGACAATTGATTTCTTTCCTCACCCCAGTCCACAGAAGGAAAAAGCCAGTCTCCTATCTCTTTAGAAAACTTAATTGACATCGTTCTTCATTGTCCTAAGTGTGCTCTATTTCCTTCTCTTGTGATCCAGTTTGTAATGTCTGACTGATTTCATAATCAATAAGTCCAATAACATAAGAAGCAATGCTTGCTTTCTATTTCTATGGAATTGTTACCCTACCTTTTTAAAGAGCTGTCCGACTCAGTCAGTATCAATGTATTATTTCCTATAATAAGAATTCACAGCTGAAAGACTAAGATAGCCTTGGAAGTGAAGATTTTTTAGGGAAGGACAGATGGGATCCATTTGCTAATCAAACCTTATTGCTTTTGAGTCATGGCTGCTGTGCTAGGTGCATGTAGGTGAATAGACTTAGGTTCTGCTCTCAGGTGATATTCAGTAGGAGAGAGGAGTCCGCAGGGATTATCTGTCAGGAAGACAAATGTGGCCCCTGCCCTAACCCTGGTAAGCCAGACAGCTACACAGAAAACACCAGTGCCACTTGGTCAGTGCTCTCAGATATGAACGCTGGATATGGTGGATGGCCACAATTAGAAACAGTTGGCTCAACCCAAAAGCTCAAGGAAAGCTGCTTGGAAGAAATGCAGCTTAGACTCATTCCCAAGGCAGTGGCTAGGCAGTGAGAAAATCAGCAATAGCCATGGGAAGAGAGGGCTACATATGCAGGGCTTGAGCGTACGCAGCAGCTCTCATGTGTACTCCAACATAGTCTTACTGTATGGTGTGTAAATATAACCTACTTATATGTCCATAAACACCTTGGGGCAAAAATATTATTTTCATCTCTTCCTGTCTTCAGAATCATTGAGACACAGTAGGGGTTCAGAGTGTTTATTGTACTTCATGCAACATGGATTACATTATATGGATTCTGGGTAAAGAGAAGTAGGCACAGATGATGGCCACACAGGTTCAGGGGGCAGACCAATGTGACTGGAACAATAGAAGCCTAATTGCTGTCGCCGGTGTTGTTTTGAATGAACGCTGTTGTCTGTGCTCCTAGGCTTATGAAAGTCTCTTTTGTTTCCTCGCAGAGTGAAGAGTTCCACATTTATACCCAGTACTGCACCAACTACCCAAGGTATGGCTTGGAAAGGGGTGGAGTCCTCCTCTCTTTGTTCTGTTTCAAGTCATTAGATGCAGTGTCAGGCACTGTATGCCTGGCACTGTGCTGAAAACCAGGGAAATGCAAAAATGCGGATCTCAGATAGTGTTTGGTGCCTTTTAGACTGGGAGGATCCATGGAGCTGGAGTGGGAAAAAAAATCATGAGCAGCGTAGAGTAAGACCAGGAACATCACTGCACACCTTCAAAGGAAGAGTGATATATCTGTGTGGTTGCATAGGGCTCTCTACTTCTCTGTTAACCTTTTATTATGTGTGCCTCATTTTGAAGATGTACTTGTGTAACATAACTGGGAAGAAAAGAAGTTCTGGTTTTACTTGGTAAGCTTTATGAGTTTTCCAAGTTTTATAAAGTTCAGCAAGCACAAGCACGGATCCTGAATAGTCAGCATGAGGAATGGGGGCTTCCAGGCTCCAGGGGCTGTTGGCTTCATTTTGCTCGTTTCTAAGATTGGAGATGGGAGAGCAGTTCAAGGAGCAGCCTGGACAATGTACAGATCGCTGAGTAAGAGCCAAAGACAAGGCTACGTTTAGCTCTAGGCATTTCTCTTCCCTCCCCAAGACATTTATTGGGTATTTGAGTCCTCAGCAGCGTTAAAACCTATAAAAGCAAATGCTAAGTTAAGCATCCACAGTGATGCAGAGATTCTGGGGGATTAAAGGGATGCAGGACACCCACCCCAGTGCTAGAAACCCAATAGAGTCTTACCAAGTGCAAATCCATCACCACCCCTTCCTTCTTCCCATTTTATGGATGACCCTGCTGAGAGACCCATGACAAACTGACTCCACAGGGTCCTATAGCTGATGAATGGCCCAGTGAGGATGTCAACCAAGTTGCTCCAGTCTCAGGCCACTCACCAAGTATCTTCATAAAGTTCTGGAGCTTTCTGTGAAGTCATGATCAACAGGCTCTTGCAGCCCAGCCAGAAAGAGGGCTGGGGTGACTTGCACACTCTTGGTCAATCTTGGCACAGTCATCCACAGGAATACAGTATCCGTAGAATCCTCGTGGCTGCTGAGGGAAGGAAGGGCAAACACCCCTAACCTGCAACCCAGGAGTTGCCTAAAAGGCTAGTGTGTAGTAACTAACCTGAAGTTCAGAATTACTTTTAACCACCACTTCTCATTGTAAAGATTTAGTCTTCTGTAAACAGTGTTCAGGAGGTGACACCATGGTTATTCATTTAGATGGACAGCTGTACTTACCCCAGGTTTCTCTTAAAACAAAAACCCCACATGCATATTCAAGCATTTGCCATAATTCAGGTCTATAGACTCACCCATACTTTGCAAGGTTACACTTAAGCATTTTTTTTCTCTGATACAAAATGAACTATGGATGCATCAACTAAATCTCATGGTCCGTAAGCCAAAATGCCATGCAGCAGAGGAACCACAGAGTCAGCCCCCAGCCTGTCCACACAAGTTCTTCCCAAGCAAAAGGGGAAGCTGTTCAAACTGACAAATCAGTGAGGTGCTGGGGCTGACCGTCAAAGGGGCTGGCTCTGGAGGTCTGTTTGTGTTCATATTGCTGTGAACATACCATCTAAAGACGCAACCTCAATATGGAAACTTTCCAAATCAAAGCTTCAGAAGGCTCTTCTGGCTTACTGATGAAATCCTCCGCTTTGCCATCATGGGCTGTTTTGGGATCCTGGGAAAGTGAGCTCATGCGTGCAAGAAGGATTTTCAGAGCCTGTCGTTCATGCTGCGATCTTCCATGCTCAGGGCAGAGCTGCAGAAACTAGGACCCAGCATTCCTGCCTTCAAGCAGCTTGTATGCTTTGGAGGGGCAGAACCCGATTGCACATACCAATGAAATAGTATAAGGGTGATTAAATACCCGAGTGGGAATTAATATGGTATGAACTTGGTAACATGCAGTGGAAGCTAAAGACATGTAAAGTAACAGGAAATAACCCCAGTGGGGATAGTTAAGGACACTTTCCTGGAGATTGTGTGTTTTGATTTTGAGTCTGCCTTTAAAGAAATGTCCCATGTTAACAGAGGGACATTCACAATGAAGAAGGCATGTCCAATTCTTGTCCAGTGTGTGACTTTCATATCTACAAAGAAATATTTCCATGCCTGTCTCCGGGCAGTTTGCCTGGACACTTGATGTTCCCATGTCCCTGTCTTAGCAAGTCAAGAGTGCCAAGATTTTTCTCCCCACTTGAGACCCAAGCTGGTGGTTCTAAATGTGGCAGGCACACCTTGGCAGGTGACTTCTTCCTTCATGCCAATCACACCCCAGTGATTTCACCCGGGGGACAGACAGAAAGGAGGTCATGCAATTGTCCTCAGATGCCTGCCCTATTCCTGAGATCTCCGGGCACCTGGAGTGTCCTGTGCCCTGATTTGCAGTAGATTCCGGTCTTGAGCAAGAGTGGGGCCATCAGTCAACCACCAGGCTCCTGAGCAGCTGCACCTGATTCCAGAAGGCTTCAGAGAAATGCCCAGGTCACACAATGAGGACTTTAAAATTCAGGACTCAAGGGAGAAATAAATCCATTTAAGCTGATCTTTTCTAAAGCAGATAGCACAAAGGGATTGTAACAGGTTAATTACAAGACTTTTCACAGAGTCTTATTTTATTGTTTGACTCCCTCTGACTGTCTCAGTTAATCCTGGAAACATGCCAGAGACTTGGGGAAGAAAAGAATAAAATGATTCCCACCTGCATCCAGGTTATACCGTAACATCATGATTTTAATTTGCGCATGTGTGTGATGTAGGATTCTATCAACTAGCTTGATGTGGAAGGGATAACCATTGTTAGAATTGTTGCATTAAGATGCGTTGGAGCTACATATTACTTTGGAAACTTCAGAAGGGATTCTAGCTCCCTCTTCTATTATCCTGCAGTGACATATCAAGAAAGAGGAGAAGACTGACGGTAAAGGGGGCAGCTAGTCAGAGTTCCTCTGAGAAAATTCAACTCCTAGAAAGTGGTATGGTAGGCACATTTCACAAGCCATCTGAGGCAGGTGACAAGTGTCCTAATAGGAGACAAAGTCTATGCTAAATAAAGGAACTGTTTTGTCTTAAACCAGGGATGCTGTGCCTTATAACCTAGCCTGTGGGAACTGGGTCCAAATGTGCACCATGAGAACTATACAAAGACATCTGGATGGGGCACGTGTAGGGGCTAACATTCAAAACAAATGTCTCTTGTCAAGCTACAGTGTCCTGGCATGGGACTGTCTGTTCTTGGAACCCAAACCCATGGTTCTATGCCACTGAGTTCAGTTCCCTTTTCTAGTTCAACCCATCCAAAGGGATACCTTTCTCTGACTTGCTCCAAGGGATTCTAGCCGGGAGCTACCTCTGTGGCTACCCTGCCCAGTTTAGGATAGTTCCACCAAGACTGGCATTTAAACCTCAAACACCCGTGTAAAACACGACATCCTCATGACAAAATGCATGTGCTTCTCTTGCAGGTCTGTGGCCGTGCTCACTGAGTGCATGAGGAACAAGATACTGGCCAAGTTCTTCCGGGAGCGCCAGGAAACTCTGAAACACTCACTGCCCCTGGGGTCTTATCTCTTAAAACCAGTTCAGCGGATTCTCAAATATCATCTTCTTTTACATGTAAGTCTCCGCCCTTGCTATAACTCTTGCCAAGGGATGGGGACTTGGGGTGTGTCTATTAAGTTGGGGCGGGGGGCGATGCCAGAAAATGTTGTGGTCATATGGAAATGTTTTCTACACTCATGCTTCACAACTGCTTTAAGGAATTAGAGACGCTTGTGTGCTAGGGCTACAGCCCCATCGACAACAGCCAAGCTGAAGGATTAATTGGAACTTGGATAGTGATAGGGCTGAGGAATGCCTTGTGCTGGACAGGGTCAGTTTCAGGCAGGAAGCTAGCATCTCAATGAAAAACAGATTCCTCTTCCTGTTTTGCCCTATTTCCATTAGACCCAATTGAGTAGGCAGCTGGGAGGGAAAACTTTCCTAGACTGGCCCTCATGTGAGAGAAAAGAGAAAGTGCCTGAGACGGGGCAGACAGATGAACAGTGCCATCTCTGAGTAGGGGCTTAGCCTCACTTCTGGCTATTGACCCTCCCTAGTGGTTTTTACTACTTGTATAATAGTCAAGAAAACTTTGGAAATGAGATGGATGTCGCTCTCAGATTCACCTCTCAGAATATTCTCTAGTGAAGTCTGTAAAGATGGAGAAAATTCTATTGATGATCATTTGCATTCTACAAGTAAGATTTGCTTAGTTTTGCAATGGAGGGCTTGAGGAGCAGAACCCTGAGGCAAGTCTGTCTGCCTCCAGATCTTGTAAGGTGCCATGTTCACTGTGGCTCATAGACATTCAATAAAAATGAAATACTGTTTGTAATCTGCTAGTCTGTATACCAGATTAAGAATCTTTTCCTAGAGGGATTTTAGAGGTAGAGACAGGAAGATCAAGATGTTGGTGGTGTTCTCAGCTAGACAGAGGGTTAGGAGCCTGCCTGTGCTACATAAGACTTTCCTTCAACCAACCAACCAATCAATCAAAAAATAAGTAAAAATTTAAGTAAAGGGATTTTAATCCAGAGCTCTGTTTTATCAGCCTGCCTGGTATCTCTCCCACCCAGCTACTAATCAAGCCCAACCCAGTCTCGCTTCTAAGATCAGACAAAATCAGGTGTGTTCAGGGTGGCGTGACCATTGACCGTGTGTGGTGTCTCTTTTGAAATGAGTCTATGTTTCTAACTGGGGCAATCATTTCTGGTTTGCTGAGTTCACATATGTAAAATTTTACCAGAAAAATGTCTTTGTCTACTTGCTTAAGTAGCTCTTCCTTGGAGAATCATCTGTTGTCTTATGAAGGCACACTGGAAATAGTTCCTTAATTCTTACACCAATCCTAATGACCAGCTAGATTTAGGGGGGTAAATTTGCTAAGTCAGTGTCCAGACCATTCTTGAAAAAAAAAACACCTTCCCAGAATACATCTCTGCTAAACTATGTTAATATGACATATAAGACGTCAGTCTCCTAGAGAATCAGATAGCTATCAATCAACAGAAATCCAAGGTCTCAGCTTCCCTGAGCAATCAAGATCCTTACAAAAACTTAATTGACATTTATAAATGACTATGAATGAAGGAATAAGGAAAGAATGGTAGCTGAATTAATCCCAAATTATCTTCTTGTTGCCTTTGAGGTGTTTTTGCTTTTACACGTAGCTTAGAGTATCCCTCCAGAATTCACATCACATCAGAGTTGAACCATACATGTGCACCCTCACAGGAACAAACCGTGAACCTAGAGAAGCCGTTTGCTTCATTGACCACTTGGGGGGGGAAGGGTACAAATCTAATAACCAATTTCTTTTTTTAGGAAATAGAAAATCACCTTGACAAGGACACCGAAGGCTATGATGTTGTGCTCGATGCTATAGACACGATGCAGCGAGTGGCCTGGCACATCAATGACATGAAGCGGAAGCATGAACATGCTGTCCGCTTGCAGGTGAGCCAGGCAGCAGTTCCCAGCAAGTGTTCCAGTGCATCGCTCTTTCCAGATCACATGTTCAGGCTGCATCAATAGTGCCCCTCACTTACAGTCCTCATCCCAGTTCTCCCTGAAGACAATATTGACCATTGATTAGAGTGGCTACATAGTGATGAGGGAGGCCACTCAGACCCAAAATAAACACACAGAAACTATATTATTTGCAGTACGGTTAGGTCAATAGCTTACACCTCTTTCTAGCTAGCTCCTGTATCTTAAATTAACCCATTTCTGTTAATCTGTGTATTGCCACGTGGCTATGGCTTACCGGCAAGGTTCTGGTGCATCTGTCTCCTGTGGTAGCTACATGGCATCTCACTGACTCTGCCTTCTTTCTCCCAGCATTCAGTTTAGGTTTCCTGCCTAGCTCTACTCTGCCCTATCACAGGCCAAAGCAGCTTCTTTATTCATTAACCAATAAAAACAACACATATACAGAAGGACTTCCCACATCAACATACGACAAAGTTTATCACTTTTAAGCTAATTGGTTTTGTTATTGCTTCTTTGATGACCCCGATTAAATATGAGTCTCCCAAGGCTTTATCTGATATCATTACAAGTCAATTACAATTCTTGCTAAGCAAATTTTCTCCAAACTATTTAAGGAATTTAAAGCCCATATTCCTCTCTCACTAGTTTATAGAAAACCATGACATACAGTGTTAGGGAGATATAGGGCAAGTGACTCATTGGGGAGAATAGAGGCTGAAGCAGCTCCTTTGCATTTCACTTGAGACATAAATCTCAAGCACATTATTTTAGTCTCTTCAGGTTTGAAACGTGACAGTCAGGTGACAGGTTTGCTAAGGTTCGTTCAGTACCAATATGATAAGCCCTGAATTCTCAGGAACTTTTCCACTCCCACAGAAACTTTTGGTTATGTCCTAGACTCCTCAAAAAATGAGCCACTTAAAAAACAAAGAGCTGGGGAGAAGGTTCAGTGGCTAAAAACATTTGCCACTCTTGCAGGGGGTTCAGGTTCAATTCCCAGAATCCACACAGATGGAGGCTCACAAATATCTGTAACAATTCCCAGGGATCTGACACCCTCTTATGGCTCCATGAGTATCTGGCTCACACATGATGTACATACAGACATAAATGCAGGCAAAACATACATAAATCTTAAAAAAAAAAGCATTTGGCCCAGGAGCTAGTTCTAAACTCATGACTCTCCAAGTGAGCCTGAAAGATGAAGAGTGAAGCCACAGCTGACCCAGCGCAGGAAAGAATGTGTTCTTCTTGTAGGTCAGAAGAAAAGGTTAGATCGCACCTGTAGGCAACCAGAGTTTGGTGTGACATCACTGTCAAAAGTCAGAAGTGATAGCATTTTATTCTCCCAGGCTGTGTTTATTCTTTTTCCAGCATTAACAAAAAGTTTAATCATTCAAGTGTTTTTTGACAAATGTAATATCAGACATCTTTTATTAGCTAAATGGCTAATTTTTCATTCTGTGTCAGTGTGCATGGCATTCTGAAGGTGCTGCTAAATCAGACCCTAGCGTTACTTCATATCTACCACTTCTGTCTGCAGCCAGCAAAAGTTATCTTGCTTAGTGATTGGTTGTTTGGTAGTAAGACGAACCCAGGGGTTTGTACAAACTCCACAAATATTCTACTACTGGGCTACAACCCCCATCTTCCCAATGAAGATGGTCACCATCTTGTGGCCTTTCTTAAGTAGGACTTGTGGCTATTTATAATTTTCAAGGAAATGAAATCAGCTTCCTTAAAATTTTGTCATGTAACAAATCCTAAAGAAGTGTCCATTGTATCACCTATTCATATTCTCTAAGTTCCGTTGAAAGTGCTAAGACCGAGTGGCCAAGGTGTGTCCATTTCCTTTCTAGACAGATGAACTTAAAGTTGGGAAAGTCCTGAGAAAATGTCCATGGTTTTACCCAGGCTTCAGTTGTGAGTTACTAATGTATGGTATAGACTCAGTTTCTAGAACATTCTCAAGTTGAAGACTGAAGGTTTTTTTAATTCAAAGAGAAGAGAATGAAAGGTTAGAGGAGGATGCTATCTATGAAGGCACCACCCTTTTGAAAGGTATAGTTACTGAAACCAGCCATAATGCTGGATCATTAAAGTATGACAACAAGCAATTGATAGTTCAGTAATTCAATTTATTTCGGGTTAACACTTGACTGATATAGCCTTGCCCCATAAACAGTGATTTATATCAGTCACCATCCTTGAGGTTCAGTGACAGGCCACTGGGTCTGCGATGCCTTGCCGTCTGCCTAGTGTTTAATCTGGGGGGAATTTTCTTTTTCTTAGGAGATCCAGAGCTTGCTAACTAACTGGAAGGGGCCAGACCTCACCAGCTTTGGGGAGCTGGTACTTGAGGGGACTTTCCGCATCCAGAGGGCCAAGAATGAAAGGACTCTCTTCCTCCTGGACAAGCTGCTTCTCATCACAAAGAAGAGAGACGACACCTTCACATACAAAGCTGACATCCCGGTGGGTCCTCGCAGGGTGGCAGGCAAGGCCTGGGGGTGGGGTGGCTTGTTGTGTGCCCAGTGCGCCTCACATACTGTGTTCTCTGCTGCAGTGTGGCAACCTCATGCTTGTGGAGATCATAACAAAGGAGCCGCTCAGCTTCAGTGTCTTTGACTACAAAAACCCCAAGATGCAGCATACAGTCCAGGTAACAGGCCAGTCACTCCTGGGTCCCCACATGGGAGAGGTGTGCAGGGCCCAGCCACCATCTCTGCATTGCCTTGCAGCTCACTGCTTAAATCTCCTCTGTAGGCCAAATCCCAGCAAGACAAACGCCTCTGGGTTCTGCACCTGAAGAGATTGATTCTGGAGAACCATGCAGCAAAGATCCCAGCTAAGGTGAGAGAGAGAGGTCAGTCAGAACACAGCACACAGCACACAAGGTGGCTTCTGAAAGGGCCCAGGCCCTAGCCAGGGGTCTGTCTGACAGGAAACAAAGCCCAGCTTCAATACAGAGCCTGTAATCCTAGCAGTCAGGAGTCTGGGGCAGAAAGATGGCCAAGCAAAATCCTGTCCACGAGGTTGAACTTTGACATATGAGTGTGTGTATATGTGTGTGTGTGCTTGTGTGTGTGTGTGTGTGTGTATGGAGGGAGGGAGGGAGAGAGAGAGGGAGGGAGGGAGAGAGGAAGAGAGAGAGAGAGAAAGGAATCAATGATCAATGGCACCAACTACAGATTTACATGTCTTAGGCTATGGAGGCAATGTTACTAGCTACTCCTCTCCCCCCACCCCACCCCCAAGAATAAAGGGGGACAATAAGGAAGCTAATAAAGAACTAACAGAAAATACAGGGAACCCCTCTGAGGAGGTCTGAGAGCCTCAGGAGGCTGTGTTGGGTCCTGTGAGAACAGCAGGAAACCAAGCCCAGTTTGGCGGGAAAGGAATTTACCAGGAAAGAGCAAGCTGCTCGCCTAACCCAGATCTGTGTGTGTGCTGGACATGGGGAAACAATTGTGCTGAAAGCCAGGTGGCCTGGGGCAGGAGGACAAAGTGTTCAGCCCTAGGCAGTGAGGGGGAGGAAGGAAAATGCCTCCTGCTTTCGTGAAGGATGAGGAATGTTCTTATGAAGTTGGGGTGAGGGAGGGGACCCAGGCTGAGATGACAAAGTAAACAAAAACAGGTGTGACACCCTGCTCACCAAACACAGCTGGTGTTGGGACCAGAGGGCCAGGAGATAGGGCAGAGGTAAGGCTGTGGTAGAGGAAGTTGGCGAAGCAGCCCATGGAGCACAATGCAGGGAGCAGATGCCAGACAGGTCACCCAGGCAAAAGGAACAGATGTCACCCTCTGAGATTGCACTTGAGTCGGAAGTTACAAAAAGGGCTTGGGGTTGGGAGTTAACCAGACGGGCTGGGCTCACGGAGGACACCTAACCGGTTAGATGGGAGCAGAGGAGCATCTGACAAGGTGGATGGAGGTGGAAATTCAGGTTCTGGCAGCCCCCGGGATTAGGAGAAGCAGTGATTGAAGCCCTATAGTTTGACAGGATGGCCCACAAGAATGTATAAAGGAAACAGGGACTCCTGGGGGGGGGGGGAGGGTTGAAAGACAGCCAGGGAGAGCTGTGAGGACCCGGAGGAGGGTACCTGATGAGGAAGGCGGGATAGCAGCTAGAAAGTGCCATTGAGATGCAGAAGTTGGATTTGGAGAGTGTTTGCAGTGGGTTAAAAAGAAATAAGGAACCGGCTGAGTGGAGACTTTTTTCTCACAGAGTTCAAAAAGGTGTGGTTTAGAAGGCAACTCAATCAAAACAAGGCTTTCCATCTGAGTGATAAACAAGGTGTTGGTTGGTGAGCTGTCCGGGAAGATTAGGAGGTAGCAAGGATGAGGAAGGGCCATTGTGGTGGTGGTGAGAATCGTAAATACAGGAATGATGGGGGTAGCATGTTCCCTGAACTGGGTAAAGAATGAAGAGAGATGGCAGAGGAGCGCTGAGGGGCTTAGGACAGCATGAAGGGTTAGAGGAGCTGGTGTGGGTGATGAAGTCATCCCTTGGATGGATGGAGCAGGCATGGGGTGAGTGCGGGAAAGTGGAGAGGGTCAGACTCGCGCTAATGAAAATGGTCTGGTTGTTCATGGTGACTCAGCTCCTTTCTGATAGGCACCAGCGATCCACCTGAGGCTGCCACGTGAATCAGTGTGATGGTGTCGTGGCAAACTGCTTAGCAACAGTGGAAACTGCTGTATGGGACTATGGCACTCACGAGTTCCTCTCCAGGGGTGGCAGAGCTGGGGAAGGGAAAGGTTCCTACAAGGAGAAGAGCGCACATGTTCACGAGACTGTAGCTGTCGGGACTATGATTCCTGGCTGAGTGGGGAAGAGATTTCTGGTCTGTGGGCAGGTGGTTCGTAGGGAAATATGGAATCTGTAGTTGAAAACAGTTCCTAGTACCTTGCCTGGGTGGCCGGGCAATCCTGGTATGTTCGGGTTCTAGGATGGCTGAACTGCCCTGCTGCTACTGTGGAATAGGGGACATGGGTGCTAGAAATAAAGTAGCAAAAGACTAAGATAAAGGGATGAGTAGCCATCTGTGAGGATGGGACGATGTCTGTAATGGGACCAAGAGGAGGAAGAGAAATAGAACCAAAAATGGGATCAGATCGGCAGAGGGGCACCGGGTGGAAAAAGCCAAAGGAGTTCTGGGAAATAAGAAATTTGTCTTTGGTGGGTTGGTTGATCTCACTAGGTAGCCCAAGCCAGCCTTGAAATTGGACTTCTTCATCATAGCCCCACCCCCACCCCTGGCCTCCTGAGTACTGAGATCGCAGGTGTACCCCAGGATGCTCAGCTCGCCTTCTCCATGTTCAGCCTGATCTCTAGGAGCTGTGCCAGTAGTGGCTTTACGTTCAGGAAATGAATTCTTAGAACTGTGCGCTTGGCCTGAAGTGTGAGTTTCCCCGTCATCAGGTACGATGAAAGACCAGAGAACTCAGGCAGAACAGTGATTGCCTCCTCTCGTGGTTACTCAGAGGCAATGCCCTTCTGAGAGGTGGCACCTCGTCTTTGATGTGCCCCTCCTACTGTTTACAAGAATCCTAGGAAAATCAAATTGCCTAATAAGATCCTGAAAGGCAATTATAGTCAATTACCAAATGAGGCAGCTTCCTTCTGGTCTATGTATTCCTGGTGGTTTCCCCTTGGTGCTTAAAACAATTAATAAAGGCACAATACAATTATTCTTTTCACTCAAGTTATTAGTCCATTTAGAATCTAAGACGGATTTTAATTTACAGCTTATTGAACACATATCCATCGTGATAAGTACACTTACTTCGCACTCAGTAAAATATCTCAGAGATGGGTCGTGTTCTCCGCCATGTTAGAGAAATAAAATCAGAGGTTCAGAGACAGGAAGTAAATTGTCCAAGTTTTATAACTAGTGTATGGCCAAATTCAGATTCAAACCCAAGTCAAAATCTGGCTCCAAAGAGCCTCTACACCATATTCTCCCCCACTAGAAATGAAAACATAACCTATTTAATATACTTTTATCCACTATAATGTTAAAAATAATTCCTTGCCCTATTTAAATAGGGTGATTAAATGAAGGTTTTTTAAAAAATCTTTCATCGAGACTATTCAATTGTTTTCTTAAAGCTTTCAAAATATATTTATTTCTACGAAATCAAACAAATGTATAATGGGACACTTTAAACAACAAGACATGTGTAACCCCGGCTTCTAATGTCAACACAGCTGGCGATGAGTCACTGAAGGCTGCCAACCTCCGCCCAGACGGCTGACTCCCTGATGGTCCTCAACTGCCACCTAGTGGACAACAGGGGAATTCTTTTCTGAAACAATTTACAGGATTTAAGGGGATTATGCCATTTTAGGGATTAACTTTGTTAAGGTAATTTCTTGGAACTAGTCACATTCCCCATATATATAAACTGAGCCAAATTAATTGAGCATAAGTATGAAGTAAGTGCTTTTTCATTTTGAATATTAACACAAAACTAGAAAACAGCTTTCCAGAGATTAAACTACCACTTGTGTTTTAAATTAATTCCAACTAGTAACCTCAGATTCCAAACATAAAACAGAAATACAAACGTATGACGCAGACAACTATTATTTCTCAAAATTAAGGTAACTCTTGGTATTTTTCCCATCTGTGCCTCCATCTTTATTTTTTTTAAGTTACATGTGTTTGCCAGATAATTTGGCATGATATCATAGATTGCAGAAAATTAGAAACAAAATCATTTTAGTTATTACAGCATGATGTATGTAGATTAGACTGTGTTATCCTTGAGGGGAATGTAAACAGCATTGGAAAGCAAGAAATGTTACCTTAACGGACTCCCCCTAACAATCAGTTGACCAAAGGGTGGGTTAAGAGAGTTCAGCTTGTTTCTAAGTCTCTGGGCATTAGCAACATGTGACTACAGAAACAGCAAAACGCAAAGTATTCTGGGTAGAACGACTAAGTGTCTGGAGAGCCGAAGCCTCAAGGCGTCAGGTTCCATTCCCCCAGAAGGGCAGAGACAGGGGCCGGGCCTGTGCTTGTGAGTTGATGCTAACAGCACTGCCTTGCAACCTTAGAGTTGAGAAAGCGCATCCAGAGAGGTGAGAGCCACCCGCTCTGGTCGCTCTGGGTGACCACCTGAACTGCAGCTGGACTTCCGTGTGCTTGCAGCTGTTTCTTTGCTTTTGTTTTTTTACTAGACTAACAATACAGTATAAAACTCTCTACAAGAGTATGCTAAGCAACCTAGAGCTGATTTCGAGTTTACAGGAAGATTCTACAGGCTCTGGACAAAGGCAGCGTCTCTACCTGAAGGGCTTGGGTGCTGCCATCTTGTTCTTGCTTCATTTCTGTGGCTGTGATCCCCTGATGAGAGAAGCAGCTTGTGTGGGGGCGGAGGAGTTGTTTCAGCTCACAGTTCAGGTTATACTCCTTCATAATGGGGACATGCATGAAGGCAGGAACGTAAAGCCACCAGTCACATGACACCCACAGTCCAGGGCGGAGAGCCTCCTACTGAGTTCACTGTCTCTACTCTTATATAACTCAGGACTCAGCCTCAGGGTTGTGACCCATACCAGTTGGCCTTCCCATACCAAAATAAAGAAGATAATCCACTGCCCCCACAGCTATGCCCACAGGCCAACTTGATCTAAACCAGCATTTCTCAACCTGTGGGTCGCGATCCCTTTGGGGGTCACCCAAGACCATTGGGGAAAACACAGAGATTTTCATTACAATTCATAACAGTAGCAAACTTACAGTTATGGAGTAGCAATGAACTAATTTTATGGTTGGCGGACACAACAGCACAAGGAACCAAAGTAAAGGACCCCAGGCTTAGGGAGTTGAGAACCATTGCTCTAGACAGTCTTTCATTGAGACTCTCTTCCCAGGTGAGTCTAAATTGTGTCAAGGTGACAGTAAAAACTGACCATCAAGTCTTCGCTGTATTGTGCAGAGTGGGCAGCCCCTACTACTCCCCATGAGGGACTCCCTTCGAGTCCCCTGTGTAGTAATATGGGCGGCAGGGCTGCCCACATGGCTAGCTTATGCTCCGAAATAACAACACACAAACTGTATTCATTTAAACACTGCTTGGCCCTTTAGCTCTAGCCCTTACAGGCTAATTCTCACATCCCAATCAACCCATCTCTAATAATCTGTGAGCACCGGTCTTACCGGGAAAGATTCAGCATGTCTAACCTGGCGGCTTGCTTCATCGCGTGCATCTGCCCGGGAGAGCAGAGCGCTCCCGAGAGGAGAGCTGTGGAGTCTGAGCTCACTTCCTCTTCCTCCCAGCGTTCTGTTCTGTTTACTCCTCCCACCTATCTTCTAACCAATGAGGGCCAAGCAGTTTCTTTTTATTTAACCAATGACCTTCCTCCATCACCCCTGAACTATGTATTAATGCCTAAAAGAAATCGCAAGAGTTGTTTTTAATGTTTTGTTTTCTAAAACCCATTTATTTGAATGTGATAAGATCTCTGTCACACTTGGCAGTTTAAAGAAGAAATTGGAGAAAAAGATTCAATTATATCTACATTTTTTTTGTCTTTCAGGCCAAGCAGGCAATACTCGAAATGGATGCCATCCGTAAGTTTTTGTTCCCTTAGCATTCTTTGAGAAGATGCCGTTATCCTTCTGTGTCTGTCATGTTCTTATCTCAAAGCTTGTAAAATGTCAGTTATGGGAAGTCAGCGGCTGTTCACTCACTTTTAAGAGCTGGAGCAGACATGAGCATCACTTCCCAAGACGCTGCCTTGTTTCTATTTTGTTCTCCTGGTTTTCCTGTGGCATACTCGATGGCTAGCCACACTTCCAGTTTCTGCAGGTCCTAAAACTGTCAAGGAGGACTCTTCCTCTCACCTCCACCACAATTAAGGAAGGGAGGGAGAGAGGAAGGAAATACATTGCATTTACTTATCCATCCAAAAAAAAAAAAAAGAGTCCCTTCCGATCACCTACAAGAACCTTTATCGCTTGAGCACTACTGGTGTTTCTGATGTAAGACAAAATTCCAAAAATCACAGCCACCCTATATGATCACCATACCTTCCTCTTTGCAGACCATCCAGGCTTCTGCTACAGCCCTGAGGGACAGACCAAGGCACCGTGTGGCTCCAAAGGAGGCCCTGCACCCTATCGGCAGAGGCGGAAATCTGGTAAGCAGGAAGTTGCCACTGAAGTTGAACTGTAATGCTGAGAGGGACAGAAAGTGGGTACCTTTCTGACTGGCAGACATTTTCTGACTGGTTGTTGGTTCGAATACATCTAAGGCTAACAAGGAAAAAAAAAAACAGAACACCCCTCAAGTCTTTCTTATTTGTTTATTTAGCTTTATTTATTTATTGGTTTCTCGAGACAGGGTTTCTCTGTAGATTTGGAGCATGTCCTGGAAACTCACTCTGTAGACCAGGCTGGCCTCGAACTCACAGAGATCCGCCTGCCTCTGCCTCTGGAGTGCTGAGATTAAAGGCGTGCGCCACCACCACCCGGCTCTCTAGCCTTTCTTTAAAACACCTCTGTACTTAACTCTTTCCTGGTAAATATAAACTATGTCAACCAGCAAGGTATGATGGCACATGCCTTTTGTCCCAGGCAGAGGCAGGCAGATTTCAGTGAATTGGAGGCCAGACAGAGCTCTACAGTGAGACCCTGTCTCAAAAAAACAAACAAATAAACAAAACAAGCAAAATGTGTCAACCAACTGCTTCTGCTTTTTATGGTACCTCCCCATTGGTAAGTATTCCCTTCTGCCCTATTTGCTGTTACTGGTATACCTTGTGAATGGCACACACAAGAGTATTCAAGCTTAACATTTTGATTTGCTTAGTGTTCTCTTAGCTCTCAGTTCTTGGTTTTATATGAAAGAGTATTAACAAAGTCCACTTTACCCTTTACTATAGGAAAGGAATGCCAAGATATGTAGCAATTACAATTTTCATTTATAAGACCCTCACTGTGGGGTAGACCCAAAAAAGGAATAAATAAATACCGGTCTCTTTGATAAAGATTTGGCATATGCAGATGCAAAAGAGGGTGAAAAGACGGAGGAAGAGATTCCAGGAATGAATGAGACTTCAGTCAAAGACTGATATCCTTGATGGCATGGGAAGTAGAGGCACAGGGTTGGAATCGTCCATGCAGAGCCCGAGGACTTGAGCCAACAGACTGCAGGGCAAGTGGTGGCTGTCAGCAGCTCAGCCTGGCTGGAGCGAGGAAAGAGGACAGTGCAGGGTGGAAAGAGAGATGGGGAGAGGGGGCCGCAGCTAGGAGGCTGATGACGAAGGCTAAGCAGGCTATGTATATGTGTGACTGTGGCAATGCAAAGGAAGATTTCAAACTAAGCATGCGTGCCTTTAGTAGAAGCTGGCTTCGGGTAAAGAGCCAAGTAGGCAAGGAGTTGTGCATCCCTCGTCCCCCGTCCAGTCTACGTCCTGCCCCCACCCCCACCTCATGCGGCAGCCATGCTAGTCTAGGGGAGAAATGAAGGCCTAGACGGAACAGGGACGGGCTTAGGGATGCAGACTGGTGACTGGGTCGGCTCACTATAAGCTTTCTAGACTGGTGGGTGAGAAAGAGATGAACTGAGAATGGCATCGTGGTCCCTAACTTGGGAGACAGAAGTCATTGATAAATCAGCTGGTAGCAGATGGCAGGTGAAAGTCCACGAGGAAGCAGTGAGCTCAGATTGAGAAGAGAGAGGTGGCCGGATCCGAAGCCTGGGATAGAAAATCGTAAGTTGCCAGCTGATGGGCTGTAGTGGCAGCTGCGGGAGTTGTTTCACGGCTCGGCCTGTTGGTAAAGTGGCACCTGCCCTTCTGTTCTGTGACTCCTGACCCTTTGGAGCCTATCCTACCATTCAGCAGAGTATCAGTGAGCACTGAGAATTTGAGTGAATTAGGCAGAGTCTTTCTAGAGCCCGGGACTGAGGATATTGCCTAGTTGAGAGGGTGCTTGCCTAACATGCACAAAGCCTTGGATTCTTTCTCTGGCTCCACATAAAGGGGGCTCCTGCCTGTGGTCTCTGTACTTAGGAAACGGAGGCAGGAAGTTCAGGAGTTCAAGGTCGTCCTCAGCTACAGAGCTGAGGCCAGCCTGAGATGCGTGAAAGCTTGTCTGTAACAGACAAATAAAAAGAACGTTTCTAAAGCTCTTAAAATGTCAATAAGTTACTAATTTATTTATGAGAGAAGGTATCGATTTGCAAATAATGCTGGCTTCCCTCTCCCCTCAGAACCTTCCTCCCGGACGCGCAAAGTGTTGAAGAGCAGTGGTGAGTGCAAAAATAGAGTTGCCTTTTTCATTCTAAGCTAATCATCATATAGAAGAAAAGTATGTGTTAGGCGCATTGTAGATCGGGAGGTTTGATAGCTAGGTTGCACAGAGATTGAATGTTTCTACAAGCAAAAGTGTTCTGTTGCAAAACAGTTGATGGAAGTTATTTGCAACATAGCTGTCAGACATAAAATTAACATCTCTCAGAAAGAAATGTTATCAACAAAAGCAAAAGAAAAAGGACCCTTAAACATGTAATAATGCATGTAATATGCATGATATATATATATATATATATATATGTCCCAACATCCCAGAAGAAACAAAGTGCTAATATATTTTAAAGTTTAAAAAGACACCTGCATCAGTAATTGAAAAAAGTATTCATTTAATGAGAGAACTGGGCAGAAGAAAGCTATGAATTTGATGAAAAGACTCTGTAAAACTCTTGGCAGGATGGTAAATTTTTGCAACTTTTCCTGAAAAATATTGAGTAATTCCCATTTAAGTTCAAAGTGGTAATTTGCCCTTGATCCAGCAATTTGACCTCTAGGCTCATATGACTGTGTCAACAAGTCCAACTAGAACTCTGCATCTGTCTCAAGATGAGCTAGGCCTTGGTATGGTGAAAGTCAGGATTCTCCAAGGTCAACTCCTGTCTCATGTGCTCAGGGAACCTGGTACAACTCCTGTGTTCGTCCTGGTGTAAAATATTAGCTACAGGAACAACCACTATTTCTGGATAGAGCGACCATGCACTATGTAAAGGTCATTCTCAACTCCATAAGAAGTTTAAGTTCAGCAAGTCATCCACGAGACCCTGCCAAAAACAAAAAGAAAGAATATTTCTAGACCTCTTAAGATATCAATAAGCGACAAGTTTGTTATAAGGGATAAACTTGATTTGGGTTTGTAGCATTTTAATATCACATTATAAAATGTCCATCTGGGGGCTGGAGAGATGGCTCAGTGGTTAAGAGCATTGCCTGCTCTTCCAAATTTCCAAAGGTCCTGAGTTCAATTCCCAGCAACCACATGGTGGCTCACAACCATCTGTAATGAGGTCTGGTGCCCTCTTCTGGCCTGTAGACGTACACACAGACAGAAAATTGTATACATAATAAATAAACAAATAAATAAATAAATATTTAAAAATAAATAAATAAATAAAATGTCCATCTGGTAGGAAATAGTATGTTCCTAGCTATCGTGGAATGTTCTGAGGTTGAAAAGAATGAAGTCAATCTCTCTCAACCAACACATGCCTATGTATTTAGCAGAAAATATACCGATGTGTAATGCATCTTTATTTAAAAGCCAACAGAGCGACTTTACACTGCAAGAAGGTGTGAGACAGTGGGTATGAGATGCAGAAAAATGCACACCAGACTGAAGTGTACCTCTCGGGAGGAACTTGTGGGCAGAGAAGCACTCTGCAAGCTTACCTGACTAAACACTTGCAAAGATTAAATGTGCATTAGTAGGGTGTCTATAAGATACATGTATAAATCCCCCTCCATGACAGGATCAAGAAGACCTCATGGATAAAGATTTCATCTTCATGTCTAAAACTCAACAAAAGCATTCTCATGTCTTCAGGAGACTCCCATGGCCTATGACACAGGCCTTGTTTTTCATATTTTTGTTAGAAAGTTTTGGAAACAATTTACCCCTGAATTACTGCTCTCAGGGATACAGAAAATGGCTTTGGCTCTTTTCTATGTATAATGTAGCGTGGTTCTACTATGGTAGAGAATGTGGAACAGATAAGTGAGGGAGGTTTTTGTTTTGTTTTGCTTTGTTTTGTTTTTTTGGAAAACTGGATCTCTTGAACTTCAATTATTAGCAATATGTGTACAAGCCATGTAGAAATAGAAATGCTTATCTAAAAGATACATTTTAAGTTCTCAAACTTAAACCATGTTTTTTGTTTTTGTTTTTTTCAGAAACTGCACATGATATCCAGAAGGTAAGCGTGATCACATTTCTTCTGAAGGGTTTGCTGTAGGCACCTTTCTCCGCAGTGTCCTCCCTTACTGGTCTCACCCCAGCCTGAAGTGTCAACATTTAAAAGTAAATGTTGACAACCTTATCCACTTTGCACATTTTGACAACCTTATCCACTTTGCATTGTTAGCTAGTTGTCCTTGATTTAAGGGAAAGCGAATTGTTTTCAACTTACTCCCTCCTGTGTCATCACTTGCAGTTCAGGCAATTCTACCCGTCCCTGTGGTCCACTTCTTCCCTCAGAAGCTATGACTACCCTTAGACAGTGACCTTTACTGAAAGATAGTGTGGTCAATCTCACACTGCCCTGTACCTCTCTCAAGTTAAAGCCAGCCCCTGATATATATATATATATATATATATATATATATATATATATATATATCCTGGGTCTATCTAGCTCCCTTCCCAAAGCACTGTCAATCACCAGGATGATTGAAGACTGTGGTCCTAAGATATAAGAGCATACAAAGTCCCTTCTATTTGGGAAAACTGAGGCAAGAAGAATGAATGAATGAATCTAGGAGTTTAATTTCAGCCTTGGCAACATAGGGAAACCCATCTCAAAAGAAAAAAGTTACAGCTAGGAATATAATCCTTCCGCTGGTGCAGCAGGTATGGTGTGTGATGCAATGAGACTTCGCGAGGTCAAGTTGTATCTAGGTAGTGCTTGTGTTCCTCTGACAAACCATTAGGAGATGGTAAATGCTCACTGTAGAGCTTTGTCTGCTGCCTAGCAAGCCTGAGGTTCTGGGTGCTGGCACACGCCTTTAATCCCACCACTCAGAAGGCAGAGGCAGGTGGATCTTTGTGAGTTCGAGGCCAGCCTGGTCTGCAGAGCTAGTTCCAGGACAGCTAGGACTGTTACACAGAGAAATCCTGTCTCAAACACACACACACACACATACACACACACACACACACACATAAAATAAAATAAAAAACAAAAACTCACCACTGAAGAAAAAGTAAAGTGTTTTGTCCTTTTGGACATTGTATTAGGTTTGTTACCTGGAAAGAGGAACTGGTATATCCTGACCTGAGTGACTTTTCCAATATGGCCAGTGATGAGTTATCCTAACTGACACTTCCCAGAGTATTTCTTGTGGTTTCTCATGTAAGACCTAAGGATGTACCATCCTCCATAAGGATGGGGCTCTAATCATCTCTTCCCCAAATCCCATTTGCACCATGGTTTAACAAAGGGACAAAGGGACCTTGTTGTTAAAGGCTGTATCTTCATTTTTAAAAAACCCTAGCACTTGGAAGGCAGAGACAGGGGGATCTCAGTGAGCTCCAGGCCAATCAGGGCTACACAGTGAGACACTGTCTAAAACCAAAGCAAATCAAAACAACAACAAAATAAAAACGGACTTTCAGTTGTCAAAAACTCAGCGTGGACCTAGGAGGGGACTTCAGCGGCTCTAGGATGCACTCACGGTTTTTCAGATACTATTTGTTTTCATCTGAAACTTTGTAACTGTATTGACTCTTCATTGTGAAACTTACTTTCTGATCTTTGCCTAAATTGGGTCACCAACAAAAGTTCTCTGTGATAGAATCCTGGAGCCAAACACCTCTCTGTACCTAACTGTGTACAAAAGGTTAAGCTTTCCCATCTTAGGCGACTTTCCAACAGTGCTCAACCAAGTCCATTGAGGACTACGGAGCTGTGAAGATAAAAATCAAACAAGAACAACAAACAAACATATTACCAGGGTGCTACTTCAGTAGCCAGATTCTGTCTCCTAACAATGATGTGTATCCTCAGAATGTAAACAGATTGGCCTATTGCTTTACCGCAGATTGGCATCTCTTCCTGAGTATATAACCTGAACCCCTCATCCTGTCTGTCGCAGCTAAGTTCATAAATGAGCTGGGGTTAAGGCCTGAATTCAGATGCACTCCTGCCTTTTGTGATCGTCTCTTGCAAGCTGTTTCACCTCAGCAGGCCTGCCTTCCTCCTTTAGAAAATTACTAACGAGACATCATGTGATAATATAATTTTTAAAGATGCCCAATACAATATTTGGCAAAAGGGCAAATATGCCATAAACGATCCTGTTATCAAATTAATAAACACCAAAATGGACGGCATGGAAAAACAGAGGGAGAAAATGGTTGTCTTGGCCCTGGTAAAATTGAGGTTTAAGACTTACGTACTTCTATGATATGACTAACCCTACATTGATTATTTCTTAATCTCAGAATTCATCAGGTCTCTGAATGATGGATTGGATACAGTGTTCAAAAATACTGCCATCATTCACTTCAATAGTTAAGAACAATATTAACAACAATTTGGGTTTAGTTGTTAACATCCATGACTTCTGGGGGCTGGATGAGTTCCAGGATTATTTCTGCTGCAGTGAGAAATACAGGGCTATTTTGTTATGCCCTCTATATCTGTCATAACTTAATGGATGGATGCTAACTCATCTTCACTGTAAGGAGTTCCCTGGTACCTGTGTTTTATAGGCACCACATCAGTGCAGTCTGAATGCAGGGAAAGGAAAAGGTGCTGAATTTTGGTTAAAAAGGTTTGCAAAGGCAATAAAATTATATAAAAATATTTTATGTCTGGATTTGTGAAAATTTATAAAACTAAATGATTAATTGTTACAGGTTTTAAAGTTTTAATAGAAAAATGTTAGGGTGGGATTTTATTTGTGTGCTATCTGCTGCTTTCTCCTTTCCCGACAAGTGGTGAGCAGTTCTTGCTACTTTGACATTTACAGTAGGCTACTCATAGAGCTTTTATCAGGAAACATGTCCCGCCCCAGACCAACTGAATCTGAACAAGCCTTAACTATTTCAGCTCTTTGAAGCTAGTTCTTCTGTGTCCAGAATAGTATCAAGTTATCTGCCCCCATCTCCAGTTCCCATGATAAGACCACGGGCCAGTCTGTTCTCCTTGCACGTTGTTATTCTCAGGAGATGGGATTTTTCTAGATGGCCAACTCCCATCAAGAAACATTCTAAGTGACAAAAAGTTCCATTGTTTGATTAGAAAAGTTCCCTTATTGGTTGCAGCCAGGCGGTGGTGGCGCACGCCTTTAATCCCAGCGCTCAGGAGACAGAGACAGGTGGATATCTGTGAGTTTGAGACCACCCTGGTCTACAAGAGCTAGTTCCAGGACAGGCTCCAAAGCTACAGAGAAACCCTGTCTTAAAAAACCAAAAAACAAAAACCAACCGTGGTTCCCTGTATTTTTTACCTCCAAAACAATAACTAAGCATTAGTTAAATATATTTTGTTAACAAATGTTAAAATAGCATTATCTCAACAGTGGGTTAAACTCCTGTAACACAGCCTCCTTGCCTGGAGTCTATAAATTAAGATCAAGTTCACAGTGAGCCTTTCAGGGTTAAGGAAAGCCTTGAAGTGTGTCATCAAGTCACCAGCAGGGGCTCCTGATGGGACCAGAAGTTACAAAAGGACTCTCAGGAGCAGGGCATTGAAATGAAGGCCCCTAAAGTCTTGCATACAAGGTGGTATTAAGGCATAGGCCTCAATGCAGACTCATGTATACAATGAATATCTACCATACTTGCGATATTCTGCTTCTGTTCTGCGGGGGAGCAAAGATTTTAGAGTCAGTTGGGTTTGAACTATAGCCTTACTACTAACCAGAAGAGAAAGATACTGACTATTTCAGAGCCTAGGTTTCTTCAATATAATCCTGATATATCTATACGTGGTTCATAGACTGACTATGAAAACTAATTACAGAAGATACCTGCAGATTGCCTATAGCTCAGTTTTTAATTAAATATCCCTATCCTTTCTGCCCCCTTTTCAAAAATCTGAAGTGCTCTTCAGATCACTTGAAAACCAACAATGGCTAGTGATCATTTTCTCTAACCAGGTGGCAGTCTAGCTACATAGGTGACATCCTCTAACCAGGTGGCAGTCTGGCTACGTAGCTGACATTCCCCCAGTCACACATCTTCCGCATGGTGCAATAATTCAGTTGCTATGTGTCTGTCTCCCTCAGGTTTCCAGAGAGGAAGGCTCTTCCCAGGTGACTTCTGCCACGCCTTCTCCCGCCCAGAGGAACAGCCAGCCAAGCAATACCGCCCTCGTCAGTCTGCTCCGCGGGGGCGGCGCCATCAGAAGCCTCTGGACAGATCCCCACATCAGGCAGTCCTTGTTTCCCAGCCGCCGGTCTCCACAGGAGAATGACGACGATGATGACTACCAGATGTTCGTCCCGTCCTTTTCTTCTTCCGATCTCAATTCCGCCAGGCTGTGCGAGGAGAACACCTCCAGCCGCCCTTGCAGCTGGCACTTGGGACTGATGGAGCCCGCCGAGATCTCCAGCTCCAGTCACAGGGTTGTCCGGCGGGCCAGCAGTGCTGGTGAAAGCAACACGTGTCCTCCTGAAGTAAGAATGAGGGACAGCGATGGCTCTCCGTACTATCCTGCCAGAGAACTGCAGAATGGTCCTCAACTAGGAGGACAGGGAGGGATGACCCCCTTTGGGTCGTCTGTAGAGTTGACGATCGATGATATAGACCATGTCTATGATAACATAAGTTTCGAAGACTTGAAGTTAATGGTTGCTAAGCGGGATGAAGCCGAATCCTCTTTCCCCAAATCACCCAGAGACTCTGTTCGCCCCAAGAGCACCCCGGACTTAGCCTTCTCGAAGAGGCAGGCTAGCCACAGTACAAGCTCTCTCTACTCAAAGAAAGAGGCAGCTCCCAGTGCTCAAGAGGCATCTAACCAAAGCATTCATGAACTCCAAGTAGTGGAAGAAAACATCTATGACACCATAGGGCTCCCAGACCAACCATCACTGGACTTCAAATGCAGTACACTTAAGCAGCCCAAAAGGAGCACCTTCCTGGGTCTGGAGGCTGATTTTGCATGCTGCGACAGCTTGAGACCGTTCGTCTCCCAGGACAGCCTCCAGCTCAGTGAAGAGGACGTGTCTTACCCTCAGGGGCCCTCCGATACTGACTATCTGAGTTTCTTGTATGACTCTCCCCGCTGTAACCTGCCCATCGCAGATAAGGCTCTGTCAGACAAATTGTCTGAAGAAGTAGATGAAATCTGGAACGACCTGGAAAATTACATCAAGAAGAATGAAGACAAAGCGAGAGACCGTCTCCTCGCCGCGTTTCCTGTCAGCAAAGACGACGTGCCAGAGAGGCTGTATGTTGAGAGCACCCGTGAGCTGAGCAGAGATTCGGGGCGTGCCTCATCTATGCTGTCCCTTCCGGGGAGCCAGGCTTTTCTCATGCCTGGGCAAAGCAGGGTTGCCAGAGCTAGCAGGGTTAACTGCTCGCGTGAAGATGACCTGATTTCAACAGAAGGCTCCTTCGTGAGCCTTAACCAACTCTCTCTGGCTAGTGGAGTACCTCCTGTGGACAGTCCCTATGAACTGGCCAACTACAGCCTGCCCCAAACAGACCCAGAAAACTCTGACCTTGGGATGGAAGCCACAGATAAGACCAAGAGCAGGGTCTTTATGATGGCAAGGCAGTATAGTCAAAAGATTAAGAAAGCCAATCAGCTTCTGAAAGTGAGAAGCCCAGAGTTGGAGCAGCCACCACCCAGTCAGCATAAGCCCATTCCCAAAGACCTGGCAGCCATCTTGGAAGAGAAGAGGCAAGGAGGGCCTGCCATTGGTATGTTGCGTGCTCTGTTCTTCCTTCTTGACAGTCAGGTGTGGGAACAGGCTTCCCAGTTCCAACTGTCCTTAGAGTGGTCTCACAGTACATAGGCCACAAAGCCACCATTGGCCCTTAGCACTTTACTTCAGTTGGAGCATGTAGATTAGAGTGTTACTGGGCCTCAGGGTTGCTGCACATGTAATGTTACTTTAAAGTTGGTGCCTTTAGGAAAAAGTTTCTGGAAGGAAGCCTAAAATGTGGAAGAAGCTACCCGCTTTAACCTATGAAAGAAGCATAAACACTTACCTATGAGTTGGCAATGTATTGGGGAGCGGGTGCTTCTCAAAACCATTGGCATTGAGAATCATCTAGAATAGGGCTGCTGTTTGTTGCAGATCTCCCCCCGAAATGCTCGCCCGTAGCCCAGAGGTGAGGGGATGGCTCAGTTGGTAAAGGTGCTCGCCATGCAAACACAAGGACCTGAGCTGAGCTCCCTAGCACTCGTGAGAAGCCAGGTGCAGCATGACATGCCCATCATCTGAGGCTGGGAAGGCAGAGACAAGGAAGGAAGGGGAGGTCACTAGAGCTGGCTGGCCCATCAGTCTAGGCTCGGCCAGAGACCCTGTCTCAAAAGATGAAGTGGTAAGTAACCGAGGAAGACATACACAGGCACACACAGCCACGGACACGTAATACAACAAAGAAGCAAGGACCAAAAAGATTTGTGTATTTGTTTTTTGTCTCCTCTGTGTGCCTGCATGTGTGCCTATAAACAATGAGCATGCAGTACCAGAGGAAGCCAGAAGAGGGTGCTAGATCCACTGGAACTGGAGTTGCAGTTGTGAGCTGCCCTGTGGGTGCTGGACATCCAACCCAGGTCCTCTGGAAAGGCAGCCAGTGCTCTCAAGCACCAACCTATAGCTCCAGCCCCCCATTTTTTAGGCATTTTTCTAAGCTACAATTTCCTTGCTCAACTTATTCCAGCTACTACTTGGTGACCTTAAATAGCCACTAACTACTGTGTGTTCAATACCGTCTTGCTTGGTTTTGTCATGTAATTCTTCCAAGAAGCTTAATTCTTCCGTCGGACTTCATTGTGGGCATAGCTGGGCTTCTAGATGTAACATGGGCAAGAATCAGGGGCGCGAGGGCAAGTGCTTTCTGGTGTGACATTTTGAAAGAGAATGAAACACTGATCTGTGAGAAGCCTTGAGTTGTGAATACAGCATGTGACTCGGTAGAAAAAAATGCAAGAGGGACGTTCTGCTTAGGATATCTTTTCATCTCAGACACTGATTTCTGGCATTGGGGCTAGGAATCTGTCTTGTTTACTCTTTTGAGACAGTGACTCATGCAGTCCCGGCTGGCCTCAAACTTGCTGTGTCACTGAACTTTATGAATTTCTGACCCTCCTACATACACACACCCTAAAAGCTGGGATTACAGGTAGTGCCCCCACACCTGGTTTTATGTGGTACTGGAATTGAACCCTGGCCTAGGCAAGCACTCTTTCAAACCAGCCACATCGTAGCTCCTGGAATCTGTATTTTAAAATCCGGCATGTTTTAAGGAATCCTACCCTTGTTACAACCTGTGACAGTGGCTAAAATTCCAGGCTTTGGGATATGGAAACAGGAGGATCGATGAGTTCTACCCAGTCCTAAGCCAGCCTGGGCAACATAGTGATCCTGTTAAGGGAGGGAGGGAGGGACGAAGGAAGAAAGGAAGGAAGGAAAGAAGGAAGGAAGGAAGGAAGGAAGCGATATAGAGAGAAAAAAGAAAGAGAGAAAAAGAAAGGAAGGAAGGAAGGAAGGAAGGAAGAAAGAAAGAGAAAGAAAGAAAGAAAGAAAGAAAGGAAGATGAGAAAAGTAGGGAAGGAAGGAGAGAGAAGGGAAGGGAAGAGAGAAAAAGAAAAGAAGGAAGGAAGAAAGGAAGAAATTGTATTCTCTGACAAAGAACTACCTCAGGATTAAAAAAGTCAGTTTTCCAATTAAAGGCAGAAATGAAGTCAGACACTATGGGACACACCTGTAATCAGCACCCAGGAAGCAGGTTTTAGTTTGGGAACAGCCTGGGCTACATAAAAAAACCCTGTCTCAAAAACAAAACAACAGCAACAACAAAAAGCAAAAACAAAAAAAACTCCCACAAATATAGAAGTTAAAACAAAATGGCATCAGCAAGTCAGCCTCAGGACAAGGCACATTTGTGCACACCAGAGCCACTTAGACACGTGGATGCCACTGACCTTTGTCTGCATTTGACTTTTTTTTTTTAAAGTTTTTCGAGACAGGGTTTCTCTGTAGCTTTGGAGCCTGTCCTGGCACTAGCTCTTGTAGACCAGGCTGGCCTCGAACTCACAGAGATCCGCCTGCCTCTGCCTCCCGAGTGCTGGGATTAAAGGCGTGCGCCACCACCGCCCGGCTGCATTCGACTTCTCTATCTCCATGGAAACTAGACAGTAGTAAGGAGAGATCTAAATCCTAAATGAATCCAATAGATCCCTGAGGAGAAAGCGATGCCATAGTTTAAAATATTAATTATCAAAAGCTTCCCATTTCAATTCCAGATAAGGAAATGAGGACTGGGACTTGGTTTCTGGAGGGTTTTACAGAATCTTTGAGTTCTTTAGAATAGAATTAAAGTCAAAGTTGATATCTGTGTGACCGTGAGAGAGACTGGAATGTATTTCTTTTCCTCCTGACAATAGCATCTGTAAAGTCATTTGTATCCTTTCCAATGTTTGTCCTGCCAAGCAGCTTGTTTTATAGTTACAGGAAGTGACTGATGAACTGCAGGAGGACTTGGTGGGGTGGCATAGGTGACCTTGGGAGAAGATCCCTAGTGGTGATTTCAGCCCATAGCTGAAGCCAGGCCATTGTCTCCCAGGTTCCGAGAAAATATACTGCTATTGTTTCTGATGAGGAGGAAGAGTTGATTGTGTCAGCAGACTACAGTTTACCACTAATAGCCAGGGCCAGGCTGACTGGAATACGAGCCAGTCATTAAGATGCAAAACTCTAAACTTGTTTAAAGCAAGCCCCTCAGAACTAAAGAATTGGGACCTACAACTTCTTTGACTAGAATTCTTGTTACCCACCTTTGAAGTGTTGTGATTGCCCATTGGGGTTTCATTTGCCTTTTTCCTTCTGGTTCATACTGTTGTCTTCTTGGGGTCCCACAAGATCTCTTCTAAGCTTTGCATCTGGGTCTTTTCTTGACATGGTGGGCTACTAGGCTGTTCCTGATGTCCTCCTTCAACAAAGAGGAGCATTTGCTCCTAAGGTGTCCTTCCGACAACCTTGTCTTCCCTGGCCACGTAGCAGGAGCATACCCCTGGGGCCTGCCATTTCTCAGACCTGACTCCATCGGGGTGACCAAGGCCACTTCCTGTGCCCACCAGGCTTTCCATCAGTTGACATTATGACTCCTTTTCTCTCTCTTGTTTATCTGGGCACAGGACGTCGTAATCGAATGGACCGATTCTCCCGACTTCTGCGCATGGGCCTTGCCACTTTGCCAGGAGCTTGCTCTCGGTGTTGTGCGGAAGGAAGAGCACCCTATTCACCTGCTGAAACCCTCGAGCATCTTTATTGAACTCTGTCCCCGGGGTCTACAGGCCCCGGGTCACATGTCTACCTATAAATCACCCAACCAGGTCCAGTTGCTCCCACTTTTAGAGCCTCTTATAGCATGTGGCCATCTTGTTCAGCTGATGGGATTTGAGACCAAGGACACTCCTTGGGTTCCTATATTTTGGGTGATATTTTCATAATGGCTTGAGAGTTTTTTGTGTAATGTAGGGAGGGTACAATTCTATGCTTCTGTTTATATCTGAGCAACATGAGAAATACCGATGTTTTTTAATCCTCTATCTAGAAATCAACATGTTTGATATTTCCTGACACAAGACTATTTCAATTTTTAATAATCTTTAATGAAAAGAACTCCACCTTTCAAACTTCAGGAAAAAACAAAACAAAAACAGAGACAGCCTAGTATTATCATGTAATAATAATGTATATGTCCTATATAGACAGTAGCAGAGGTAATATCAGAGGTAAACTTTGACCCATAGACTAGCCAGGGTTTCTAGGCTGGAGAGGTCAATGGTGGCCAGCGTCTTCTATGCATCTGGCTAACAGGGTCTTTTTAATCACAACTCGAGCTCTGAAAAGTTGTCTTGTTCATACTGGCATCGTGCTAGGTGTAAATGCTCTCCAGTGGGACAATCGAGACAAGAAACAACTGAGATTAGTTTTCCCTTCTAGTGAGATACATTATATCCAGAGTTTATTAGCTCATTATATCCTCTTTGTTAGCTGAAGATTAAAGTACCCAGTAGGAGTTATCTATGGGAAGCATTTTAATCCAAGGCCATTTTCCTGTGTTCTCTTTCCTGCTGTGGCGCCATGTGTTGTCTTGACTCTTGGGTCGTCTCAGGAAAGGCTCATGAATTTGAAATCCTATGCTCAAAAGGAAAGGGTGAAAAGAAAAATCCACGTAATGAAAGAGTTGAGATCAGCTTCCTTGAAGAAGCTATGTTTGGTGCTATAAGCAAAATGTACAACACTGTTCTCTGAGACCAAAACCTCATCAATTATCTGCAATAATATAATTATAATTATAATATATATATATATATATATATATATAATATAATCACCTATGGAGGTGATTAGCCAGTATAGTTTTCCTGTTTGTGTGCATGTGTTTGAGTAAATGCATATAAGACTTTTTAAATGTATTTATTTGTCTTATTACATATGTGTATATGCCTGGGTATATACCATGTACATGCAGGAACCCTTGGATGCTAAACAAGTGTGTTGGGTCCCCTGGAACTGGAGTTTACAGGCAGTTGTGAGCTGCCTGATGTGGGTGCTGGGAACTGAACTAGGGTTGTCTGGAAGTGCAGCAAGCACTCTTGACCACTAAGCCATTCCTGCAGCCACATAGGAAATGTACGAAAGAAGCTGGAAAAGGTGTTCGTAGTTGACTAGGGCTTGTGGAGGATTTTGAGGAATGGGTGAGGCTTGATTAAGCAAAGACGAGGAGAGTATGAGAAGAAAAAGGCATGAGAAATACAATGAGTATTTTAGACATTTCATATTACATGAGTATTTTTACATGAGCTGCCCTAAAGCCAGAAGCTGTGTCCGCCAATAAAACTTTATGGGTAAATTCACGCCAGAATACTGTTATTTGAATTATGCATCAGCTCTGTTCTCGCTCGAGTTATCATCTCTTGAGAGCTTTGGAGAAGCTCAGTGCCCCCTGACTCAGCTGTGGATAAGTTCGGGGCTACATACAGTGTGAGAGGGATGGCTGGCGCTCAGCCATATAACTTGGTCTAAAGTCCCGGCTCCTTGTGGTTGGGTCTCATAGTTAATGCTTTGAAAGGATGGCTGACAGAGAACGCTGCAATGCAAGGAGATGGTCATGTATCTCCTGAGGTGCCACCACATTTGGACTGGTATTTTGAGTCTTTACTGTGCTACTTGAAGAGCAATTTACCAAGTGTTTGATTCTAGAAATTTCTGAACAATATTCTCTGACCTTAAATGCAGTTTAAAATGGAGTTTAAAACCAAAGCATCTGGATATAAACTCTAACGAGACATTACACAGATGATGGTTTGCCTCGATTGCTGGGAGCTGGGGTCAAGGGATGAAAGGATGGAGGGGCTGCAGCTAAAGGTACATGATACCCATGAGGTGTTCCCATCTTCAAGGAAGGTAGACTAAAGAAATAGTAGAAGTTCAGCTAAATGCATCTCTCACTGAGATATAAAAGGTAGTACACCAACAGCAGGCCAGCAGGCATGGAATAGTTCCATTATATAGATAGATGCCATTTGTGGATTGTCATAGATAGGATGGACATCCTTCCCAGATATCATACAGATAAGATCTGAGCAATCCACAGGGTGCACAGTGTTCCTATGTGTGCCAGTTGGGGACAGCTCCTGAATCAATGTGGGCCTGGCTCTGGAGAATGTTCTCCATTGCATGCCATGGGTCATGTCTTTAGAGATGCCTGCACTCTGAAGTGAGGCTACACGGAGATGGGGCTGTGGTTTAATTATCAGTGGCAAATGTTTTTTTTTTTTTTTTGGAAGTAACTATCACGTAACCATCAAAAAAAGAACTATCAAGTCCTGTTCTTTTTTATATTTATTTATTTATTTATTTATTTATTATGTATACAATATTCTGTCTGTGTGTATATCTGTAGTCCAGAAGAGGGCACCAGACCTCATTACAGATGGTTGTGAGCCTCCATATGGTTGCCAGGAATTGAACTCAGGACCTTTGGAAGAGCAGGCAATGCTCTTAACCACTGAGCCATCTCTCCAGCCCTCAAGTCCTGTTCTTAAGTCAGTGTCAGATTGTATTCAGTTGTGGATTGCGTGAGCAAGGGATCTGTCCTTGATGGCTTGGAGACATGGGCCATTGCTCTTGGCTTTGGGGGAATGGGAGAAGATACGTGAGTTAGTCCTTACCTGAGCTGAAGGTAAAGAACTCTCCCAGATGTTGGCTGTCAGGCAGCGGCACTAGAGAGTTATTTGGAAACCAGGGGTGTTGGAACAGCTGCCAGGAGCCAACCTCTCTAAGAAAATTTGTCTGAGAGCAAGCAATAGTCACATGAAGCCAGAGGTGACTATAGCACTGTGGTTCTTCTTTAGTGGACATGAGGTGTCTTTATACACCAGAACATAAGCTCTGGCGTTCTCATTTGATGATGGCTTGTTTTCAGCGTTAACACTATGTTATGGATTAAAGGAATATTCACGACATACACTGGACCCTGCAGGTCCACTATTCAGATAAAACTGTGTAAAATTCAAAGAACTAAAGGAGCTCTATTTTTATTAAACTTTGGGTTATTTTTATTAGCATTGCATTCAGTAACTTCTTACCCTTAATCTTAAGTCTACTGTCTGTCTTTTAATACATCTATTAGGGTGTTATGTTCTTATAGCTAAGCTTCCCAGGCAGGGATAAGCCTATGTGTACTTATTGCTTCAATGTATGCCTTCCAGGTGCCAGGATTGCTGAATACTCCCAACTGTATGACCAGATCGTGTTCAGAGAGACACCCCCTAAAGGACAGAAGGATGGCTGGTCCAGGACCCAAGAACCCTCTCTCCATAGGCCTGCATCACCTTCCCAGGCCCAGCGTGCTGGTGAGGACTGGCTTTGGCATTCATCCTACAGTAACGGAGAGCTAGCCGATTTCTGTTCCCAGCCAGAGCAAGACTCAAAGTCAAAATATCCCACATTAGAGGCCATCACCAAAAGCATTCCCAGACAGTTGTCGGCAGCTTGTTCAGTGCCTTCTCTTCAAGAATCCGAGCCCCTGCTGGGCTCTGCGCAGCGATGCAGCGTGGTGGTTAGCCAGCCCCACAAAGAGAACTGCCAGGGCTATCTTTACAACTCGCTGGGTCGCAAAGCAGTCGGAGCTAAACTCCAGCCTTATAGCAGGCCCCAGTCATCTTCCTCAATCTTGATAAACAAATCTCTTGACTCCATCAACTACCCAAGTGGGACAGAACAAAAGCCACTGCTGTCTCTACAGAAAAGTTCCAGAGGTGCGAGCCAACAGGACTTGCTGTCGGGTGTGGTGGACTCATGTCAACAGGACACTGGAAAACGCTCTGATCTTACCCTCCAAGACTCACAGAAAGTTCTGGTGGTAAATAGAAATTTACCCTTAAGTGCCCAAGTAGCGACACAAAACTACTTTTCTAATTTCAAAGAGACTGAGGGAGATGAAGATGACTACGTGGAAATAAAGTCAGAAGAGGAGGAAGTGGGGCCCGATCTCTCTCTGAGTCGGGGCAGGAAATCTGACCCAAGTATCCCAGACCCTGGCTGTTCTGGAAACATTTGTAACCACGGCACGTCTTGCTCTTTGAAAGAGCCCGTGAGCGGCAGGCTTGGGCTTCCCCCTTACTTGACAGCATGTAAGGACTCCGACAAACTGGATGATTATCTGTGGAGGGGGCCATCACCCAATCAGCAAAACCTTGTCCAGTCTCTGAGGGAGAAATTTCAATGTCTTAGCTCCAGCACCTTCGCCTAGGATTCTAGAACTGTCTGAATTGGCTCCTCGGTCTTACCAGTTACCAATAGGGATGAGGTGTTTTGTTGTTTTTTAAATATATGTACTAGTTGAAAACAATTTTGTAACTGCCAGGGGTGTAAAACACCCCTTCCTTGCTTTACAGCACGGCGGCGGCGCTTTGTGCTGGCTGACCGTGATGTTTCCCCCATATCCTGACGGTAGCGCACTTACAGCTCTTAGATGACCCCCCTTCCCCACACCCCGAGGAGTTTCCTACTGTGACTCAGAGGCAGCATGAGTCTCTGTCACAGTACTTCAAAAGAGAAAGTAGAGTTATTTAAAGAGTTCTGTGTGGCATTTCTGTTATATTTATGGCAAGACTCAAGAATGACGCGTGCCAGAGACCGGTGGTGAGAATATAGCCTCATGGTGCTTCAAGGTCCCCCCACTGGTGTTCCGATTGCATTGCATTTGGATGCCGCCATGACATGACTACTGGAAAAACTAAACGGCAGTCCTAGGATCCACTTGCTACTAGAAAACAAAACAAAGCAAAATAAGACCAAAAAAAAAAAAAAAAAACCCTTTACCTGTGTTCCTAGACAAGGCCCAGATGGTATGCCACTAATCATGGTAATTCTACAATTTCGGGGTGAAATAAACTATTTTTTTCATGACTTAAAGAAATCCAAGCTCAAAAGAATGTAAGACAACTTAATTACTAGATGAGGGAGACTTCTGGAACAACCTGATTGTTTCTTCATGTTGCACCTAAAAAAGAACTGCTCCCCCAAACACCACAACCCAAAGCCCCCACTATACTGCTTTCTATGCCCATCTCTCATCAATGCAGCGTAGACCAGCAGTTAAAATAAGACAAAACCCACTAATGACTTGTGGAGAGCAATTCCTCATAGACACTTTTCTGAACGCCCTACTTGAGAAGTCTTTGTCACAGAGATGGGAGTTTCACTTCTAAACAATGGTGGCATGGGGCCTCCTTCAGTGTTTCAGAACATATAGAAGACCCGAGCCTCTGGTTGCTGGGCTCTGGCTAGTCACTTCCTCTTTGTTGTAACTGTAGTTCTCTACAGCATTGCACTGTGATACCACACCAGTCTAGCTCCTTGTAGATAGGGACGGAAGATGCAAAGAGAGAAATGAAGACAGATGTGTTGCTGCTTCAGAAAAGCGTTTTAATGAAGGCCCCATAAAGGCTGTCAGACTTTTGTCTCGCAGTACCGTGTTCTCATTTTATTTTATTTTTTTTTTTATTCCAATGGGTTTATTCTTACACACGGCACCATACAGAGCAGCACAGGTCACTGAGCCGGGCCCGCCCCTCACAAAGAGCAAGGACATGAAATACGTAGGGTGCGATGAGTACGCAGCCCAGGGGCTGGAGTATAAGTGACGGGAGGGGCAAGGAGAGGTGGCCCGGTGGGGCTGAGGGCTGGCCAGGAGCACAGGGCACGACAACCAGGGAGAGCAAAGTCCAGAAGTGAGCGGGCAGGTGCTCGTTTGCGGCACAGACACATGGCACCGAGTGCATCGGTGTGGCCCGAGGGGCACAGTGGATGGAGAGAGAGAGGAGAGAGGCCAGAAGAGGCCCTGCGCCCTGCCAAGCTCCTGGGGCAGAGTCCACCCAAATGCGGATCCTAGGAAATGGGGAGGGGCCAAAAAGAGGGGGCAAGGCAAGCGCGGTGGCGGCGGCTTCTGGAGCAGGAGCAGGAACGGCAGAAGTCCATGCAGGAAGGAGCAGAGGAGGGGAGGGGCAGGAAAGCTCCCCCCAGGAGCAGCTGGGCCAGTGGGCTTGAGTGCCCCCGCCCCTCTGGGCCTCGTCGCTCTGGCCGGCCGGCGTGGGCCGAGCTCCCTTCTTCTCCATTCAGCGAGCCTGGCGCAGCGTCCAGCCGGGCCTGGTCCGTGTTCTCATTTTACACAGGGGAATATTCTGGAGTCTTTCCTCACCCTCTCAGTTTCCATTTTAACTTATTTCTCTTTGTTCAAATTAAACAGTCAGTTCCATTTAGAAAGATATGATAAGAATTGTTGGGAAAGATGTCTGACCTATCATAATGGTAAGCCATAATAATGAATCACACACAGCTTCCCATGATCCTTTTCTTCTTGTTAACTCCAGGCCCCTTTCAGTTTCAACTGTGCAACATAAAAATGTGACCGTCCTTATGTTACAAATAAGTTCCTACGGCGTTTGTGTTGTTCTTGTTGCTTTGAGTTTCCTGTCCTTCCGAACCCTTCACTCTTCCTGTAGTGACCGAGACAACATTTGGGGCTGAAGGTGACACTTGGTGGTGGAGCCCTTGCCTCGAGTTCTCAGGCCCTGACTGACCCCCAGCACTGATTTACATGGTTCTGAAAACATTCCTTCCCCCCCCCCAATGCTTTTATTTAAGCATGATGTTAGTTTTCCAGATAAAGCAATAGCAGAAAAGACGAGAACTCTGTTCTTAGAATTTACTAGACAAGTGCAAACACATTTGTTTCATTTGTTTGGTTTGCTTGTTTTTTTAAAATTACCTGACCATGTTTCAAGAGATGTAGTTTACTGTTTTGTTATTTTCTTTTTGTCTATGTGACGCACATTCCAATATAGTCCACGTTACTGTTCTGTCTGAATCTCAGAAATGATTAATTCTTCACACCAGTGTTTTGTTGCACAGTTTGGTGTCAGCCTACAAAGGTGGGTGTTGTACAAAATGACTATGTATACAGTCCTTTGGGTTCTAGGATAAATCTGTAGTTTTATTGATCACCTCTGTGTAGAGGCTGCAGACTTTGAGAGCCGTGTATGTATGTGTGTGTGTGTGTGTGTACGCACGCGGATGCTCCCTCAATGTTATCAATTCAGTGCTTTTGTTTAAAATGGTTCTTTTGCAGGTGGGGTGGCAATGTATATACTTGGGGGGAAGTTTTATGTACTTAAAAGTTCTTACCTGGTTCCTGTGCTGAAGGTTCCAATTTTATATATATATATATATATGTTCACGTTTCACCTCCTATTTTTCTTTGTGGAGAAAGCAGTGCATCTTGGAAACCATGGTTTAAATACTGTATATAAGACAATTAAAGTTAGTAATGTCCATTATTTAATAAAGTTTGTAAAGTGCAAAGTAAAATTTTGTTTGAATTGTATTTGCACTAGAACATATGATTTTTTTTCCCCAAATCATTTGGCTATAATACTCTTGTCTTGCCTTGTGAGCCACAGAGAAAATTATTCAAAGTAAGTTAAATCCTAGTTAACTTTCTCAACTTGACATCGGCTACAAGAAAAGCCTCATTTAAGGACATTCCTAGATATGATTGGCCCATGGTCATGTCTGTAAGGGATTGTCTTGATTATTAATTGATGTTGGAGGGTCCCTCCCACTGTGGGCAGCACCCTAGGCAGGTGATCCTGGACTACATAGGAGAGCCAGCTGAACATGAACTGGTGAGCCAGCGAGCAAGCTAGCCAGCCCCATTTCTAATGGTTTTTGCTCCAGCTTTCCAGCTTGAGTTCCTGCCTTGACTTCTCTCAATGCTAGACTGTGGGCTGGAAGAGTAAGTAAGCTGAGATAAACCTTTTCCTTCCCTAAGCTTCTTTGGTCATGGTGTTTCTTCGTCATGGAGGAACTAGGGCAGAGGACATTCTAAGTCTCACTGGCTCATGACAAACCAGTTGTCTAGATTGCTTTTGAAATAATAAACTTAGGGTTCAAAATGGTTTCTGTTTTATTGACAGGAAGCTAAAATAAGCCAGTCACTAGATTAAAAACCTTTTCATTGAAAAATATAATAACAAGACATCTTTTATTATTAAATTGAAAAGTTAATCTAAATTTTTGGTAAAAAGTCAAGTTTAGTTCATACAACTTTACATTTCGATTTTTCTTGGATAGATTAAAATTATAGAGACAAAAGCATGCATCTATAAATGGGTAATTACTAAAGCTTTGTGAAAAAATCCATTTCCAAATATAAACAAGCCCTAGCCAATTCAGTTGAAAATACAGGCTCCCTGATTCCAGAAAGCTGTTGAGCATCTTTCTTTAAACTGAGGCATCTCTAACATCATTCTGAAGAGGCCTGGGGTCTTCCCTACTGTGATGACTTCCTGGAAGTCACGTGTTAGGCAAGCCAATGACATAAATAAATAAATAAATAAATAAATAAATCCATAATGTGAATAAGTTCTCTGCCTAAATCTTCAGAAGAAAGGAGAAATATTTCAATCTCAGTGAATTGTCTTTTGACATTAGAAGAAGACGACTTATTATGAAGAGTAAGTGTTAATAGTTCTTTATGAGCCCTTAGTTTTCTGTGTGAGCTATGGCTTTCTCTAGCTACCCAGGTAAGGCTACACTCAATTCTTTCACTCAGGATGAGAATTCAGTAAAAGAAACTGTTACTACATTTTTGCAACATTTGTGTCAATCAATATGTCTTTATCAGAAACCTTGTGTGCGTAAGATCTGAAGATTTATTGTACATATTAATTTTTACTTTAAAAAGTTTCAAGACATAAATACATTCTCATATTTTTCTTCTCCCCCACCCCAGCCCCATAACTAGCGTATAGCATGGAACGCCAATGTTACTTTGGCATTTTAAAACTAGATAAAGTAAGCAGGGCATGGTGGCAGATGCCTTTGATTCCAGCACTCAGGAGGCAGATCTCTGTGAGTTTGAGGTCAGCCTGGTCTAAAGAGTGAGTTCCAGGACAGCCAAAGATACACAGAGAAACCCTGTCTCAAAAAAAAAAACAAAAAACAAAAAAAAAGTTAGATAAATGCAAAACCTCACTGCACAATGTAGAGAAGAGATTCTTCTATCTTCCCTCTTAGTCCTTACCTGGACACTCTGGTTGGATCTAGGGACACAATTAATACATAGCCAATTAACATGAGAAAAATATTACAGTTTTATTAGTTTTATATAGATATGGGTGGGATGGGAAAAGTCCTTCTCTCTAAATGTTGCTTTTATTAGTTAATGAATAAATCTGTTTCGGCCAGTGGCATACATAGCAGGGCAGAAGCGAGCTAGGCAGAAAAACTAAACTGAATGCTGGGAGAAAGAAGGCAGAGTCAAAGAAACGCCATGGAGCTGTGAGGTGGAACCTTGCTGGTAGTCATGAACCTCGTGGTAAAATATAAAATAATAGAAATGAGTTAAACAAAGATATAAGAACTAGCTAGCAGTATGCTTAAGTGGTTGGCCAAGCAGTGATTTAAATAATACAGCTTCTGTGTAATTGTCTCGGGTCCGAGCTGCTGGGAATGAAAACGTGGCCTCCAACAACACATGGGGATATTTGCAGAAGAATAAAAACCAAAGAAATGGTCAAAGCATGGAAGTTTTAGATATTAATAACTCAGTGAAAGAATGCAAGGACAAAGGATATTTGGGCCAGGGTAGTAAATTTGAGAGATATTATTAACAGCTACAAAGTCAAAGATGGGGCTGCAGACATAGATGCTGGAGGGAAATGAGGGCTACTTCAGAGCTTTATACAGATTCAGTGCAGCCCCAGTGACCAGTCTTTGATATCAAGGCGATTCTCCAGGAGAATCCATACGACCTTTTGTCAGGAAATTTTCAGCTGATTGTGCCTTAAAATAAGCAACTCGCCAAATAAGCATATTCTGGAATGGTGTACTCTTTACTTTTTCCACCATTCCATGTCACTAAATTAGTTTAGGGTGTTTACAATGCATTTGAAAGCTCTTTTGCAGGAGATCAACGTTCCCTTTTAGACAAACATTCTAAATGGTAGGTAGCACATGTACCTCTTGTCTAATTTGATCTCATACCATGCCTTGTGTAGACTCTGCACAGTACGGGCCAATTTGTACTTGACCAACTCGTGTTTAATGATTGACTAAACAGAGTCCAAAACTTACTGAAGCCCAAAGCAAGAGAGAACAGTCAAACCAGGGGCATGTGGAGACAAGTCTGAGTAACAAGTAGTTAGCTTTTAGAAACTCATAGCAGGACCAGAGTGATGACTCGGTGAAGACCATTGGCTGACAGTGCAGAGGACCTGGGTTTGAATCCCAGCACCCACATGACAGTTCAGAGCTATCTGTAACTTCATGGTCACCACATGTGGTGTTCATACGTACATGCTTGCAAAACACTCATACACATAGTAGAGCAAATAAATTCATAGCACCGTCAGTAACACAGTCATTGAGAAAGTGGCATTTCATGAGTCCTAGCCCTTTCCTATCTCTTGGATTCTGGAGATGTCTTATTTTGAAGATTTCCAGATGCTTTCA